TTCGACTAATGCCCTAATTTTGATTACCATACGCCGATTGAAGGAACTGAAGCGTAAAAGCGGCTTCTTGATCAGATCCTAAACTTGATTGGTTAGTGGGTAGTTGATCTGCTTTTATGCCCCATCTAGTCCGGCGCCTTTTATTTCCTCTTGGGGTCCTTCAGTTCTAGTTATTTTCGTTTGTTTCGGTGCTCATCTAATTTCACTGATCGGGTAATGCGCATAATAGACTTCCGTCTCCTTGTCGATATGGTACTCTCCGCAGGCCTTTCTACACCTTTCATTTACCGGAATTCGAGCCAAAAACATGAGCAAATTTGCCTGACATTTTGAGCAACTTAATGGTCTTTTATCCGTGATGTCGGAACTCGCATTCATTTAACTGAAACGTTCGGATGCAAATCGAGATTGGGCTATCCTTGTAATAAAAATAGATCATCCGTCAATTTTTATTGCCGCCTTTAAAAGGTTATCACATTTCCATAATTCCTCTCGATCCATGCCTTTAAAACCTGGCCTAGAATTTAAAAACAACGAAACGACTATTGTGCCTTTAGAGTGCGTCGAATGGGACAAATCGTTGGTTTTAAACGATGACAAGTTTCCCTTGCCCAAATCTTGAGGCACGGATGTTATTTCTCATCGCAAGTTATGCAGCAAACATTTATGTTTAAACCTCGCCTTTCGGTATTGTGGATGAATTGAAGGATAAACAGATAGCCTTTGGAATTTATTGCTGTCTGCTAATAAGCGGAGGCGGGATTCATTGGCTTGGCTCCTAGGACTTGCATGGCCGGTGTTATAGGTGGGAAGGGACTGTCCCCTCACCCACGCTCAGTATTGCAAGAAATTCTCCGCAGTGCAAATCTCCCACTTTCTTGGTAATGAAAGAGGATCTTCGTAAACGTGATACATCTACTAGTCCTAGGGTGAACGATTTACTTCTGGGGCGGTGCATTCCGCTGCCGCACCTTCACCAAACGTATCCGACTGATTTTGCTTGTGGCTTCAACTGTCTCAGATGTGCGATCGTCCCTACAATGCGGACAGTCTCGAACCGTCACCGCCAGCCCATTCTGCCACCATTCCATGATGTAAGGGTCGAAGATATAAGGAGGAAGTAGAGAAGACAGTAGGCCCTGTTCTACCGATCGGTTGGCGCGTATCTATGCCAAACACGAACAATCGCAGGACTTTGGCAAGACCCTCCACACGAAAGCAGCTCATTGTATCACTTCAAAACAGGCGAGTGTTGACCATTTCTTCCAGATGAGACTTTACTGAGATCAGTCATACATCTTCTCTTACTTTGGAAGAGCAAAGCTGGTACAGAACGGTGGGAAAATGTCTTTATTATCAGCAGATCGGAAACACTTGGACAGCATCAACAGCTCGAAAACCATTGATCACCGTAGGTAGCTATTTGTCAACAGACCATAGAACAACCTGTGGAAAAGCTACTTTTATAGTAGCTCAATGTTGATGTAACAACAGAGCATTTTTGGGGTTGGTAAACAAAAGTTCATTATTTTGTCTTAAAAAGGATTTAGAGAGATCATAAACAACTACGAATAGTTTACATGGAAAGTGTTCTTGAAGTTATGCATGGCAATCAAGGTGTCACCTTTGAGTGTCCAATTTTAGAGAACCATTCCAAGCCAGTAAGGTCTTTCAGTTATGTTACGTACCATGGAGGTCTGTAGGACGCCAACACTATATGCAACAAGTGGACGTCAGCTTGTGCACTCTTTTTTTGCTGACTGTGGAATGCCTGTAAATGTGGGAAATGTATCGCCATACGCAAGGGGCCACCCACTGCCCTAGGCATAGATGCCAGTCATGCAGCTGGGCTCCCTTGGTAAAACCATGCGCAGTCCGATTTTAGAGCGATGTACTTTATCCGTCCATGACCCTACGGATGACCGAGCTTCGTGCGTGTCTCTAAGGGAGATGATGCCAATTTTCAAGCTCACGCGTTAACACTGATGCCTGTTATATGCCAGACAGAAGAAGCATTACGACAGGCCTACCAAGAAGGGTACCACGTGCGTGAAGGACACCTATATAAAATACGGTGACCTCAACCCATTCCCTGCTTCTTCTGCTCCTACATTCTTACAGAGTATGAAGCTGTTGTGGTTGACATATTCACTGTCTCCTTTTTCTAACTTAATGTCACAAATCCCCAGTAAGGATGTCGGCAATTCCTAGCATCATCCGTGAAATTCAGCAGGGTTTGTTGTTACCCTTCCGACACCGGGAGTTGAAGTGAAATAAATTGACTAACCAGAAATCTGGATACATAATTAAATGGGCTTACGATAAATTTCTGAGTGCGGTTTGATAGACCGCGGTGGATAAGCAGCCGATATAACTGGTTAAATGGTGGTTTATGATGGGACAAATGCATTGTCGGCTAACTAATGAGCTGTCATGAGCAATCGACATGTTCACAGCATTTCTCATCAGCCTAGAACTGTGTGCAACTCTGTTTTAAATTCTTACTCATTTCACCCTATTACGTTTTCGAATTGCTCCCTCAAAATTGCAGTCAAAATCATACAGGCGTATCAAGGGTCGCTTGACAATGAAAACATTGCCCTAACTAGGTATTACATCTTACCTGGGCCAAAACACACAACACATTGCTGAACGAGTAGCGCATGTGCAGCTAAAACAGGCCAAAACGCAAGCCTTTCTCTTTACAAACATGCTGCGATCAACTGATGGATGCCGGTAACGGTAGCTGCGCATGTATGGTTAACCCCGTGGACTGAGCACGAACGTAACCCGGGATTTTGTCACTCCCTAAATGTGTGATCAACAGACCGAAACGTGTCAAATTAGAACGTGTAAAGCGTAACCCTCACAATTTAATCTTCCGGTGTGACAGTGAAAGCAGTAATCGGACATTTTATTAATTCCTTGCACCTGTGTTGTAATTATGCCTAAAAGAGCGACACTGAGATGTGCCAGCGTCAAACCTGTCTGCACAGCGTAAACACAGAACCAAAATGTGAGACGTAGTAAACTTCAGGTTCTGAGAACTTGTTCGCTTACACAAAAAAGCGCTTATTGCCTTCCGCAGTTAATCGCTGACCTATTTACAATCCTATAAGGCAAAAAGAAGGTGCATGATAATCTGTTACTTGTGTGATCGCAGTCAATCCTGTTGGAGGTAGGATCCCTAATGCCTTCCTTTTATCAGAAGACGCTACGTTAGTCATCCCTTCCGCTGCGTGTCTAAGCATTTAGAAGGTTTAAATTAAAATCACAAGGAATATTTAAAATCTATATGGAGTCAACAAAAACTTACACATTGTTGGCCATACCCTAACTAATTGCAAGGTAGAGCATCATAGTGGCTAAATATCCAGCGCTAAGGGGTTAGATTTGCTCAATTTAATAAGTGGGATAGATCAAACCAAACAAATTTAATTACATTTACTTTTTCATAGAGTACCCATAGCAAATTCGATAACCGTGTCGGTGAAGTTAATTTCGTTAACTGACTATTTGTCATACCTGTGATGCTTATTGCCTAAATTTTTAGCTCTGCTGATCACCATAACTCTGAGTACTAAAAAAACGTCAACTGTTTTAGGAAGTGTTGTTTAAATAAATCATCTTTACGACCATGCAGGGCTGCTTGACGCTTGACCACCCTTTGAAATTGCCCCCATGTTGTATTGAAGATTGGGATCAGTCAGAAAATTAATTGCACAGAGGTTCCTGCAAGTACCCACCATTGGTTGACTGCTAAAATGCTAACAGGATTTAGCTCTTTAGCTAAACGTGTGCATTAGTGAGCAGTTTGACTTGTGGGGTCCGCTTGGTATAAGAAGCTAAAAAGTGGACGGGAAGGGACTATTACTTTATTTCTACTCAGACTCAAGATCTGAGAGGAAATTGCTATAAGACCTACAGTTTATTAGCCGTGGACTCAGAACAATGTCAGGGCGAGGTACATAGCAGCGTGCGGCCTAACGCAACTCCCATTTATCAAGATTTTTTGTTTAAAAGACTAGCGTTACCAATGGCTTTCCATATTTTAGCTTGCGTTCATGTTTGAGGTTTAAATGGTAGTCCCCGAAAATCGTTTCACTGCAAAGACCCTAATCCTTCCAAGATTTTTTCGGTCACATAAATGACAATCTCTACTTTGGTATCAATAGATACAACGTACGGCAGTAAGTTTTATGCCCTAACCTCGGCTAAATTTGGCGTCTGTCTGGAAATTGGCGTAGACATAGAGCAGAGAAGATCTAACCCAACGGATATCTACAGGCGCGAAAATCGCAGGAGGCCAGTGCTCTGGGAATGCTGGGACCCACCGCTTAAAGCGAAGCACACCCTCTCATTTGGGCCAAGTAAAAGCGGGACGCAATCACAATCATTAAAATAATCCACTAATCTGAAAAAAAAAAACCTAATTTCTTAAGAACATATTCACAAAATATACACGAAAGTAAACGAAACATCCGCCATTTGAGATGTTCCGTTGAGCTGTCGTATTATTTCGGAACTTGGCTCGGAGCTTCGATTTGGAATCGACGAAATTGGACGCGTGAGAAGCGGAGTTTTACGCGTCTATGTGAGACGTGCGCATCACCTTCAAGTAGGGGGAAGTGGCGATATTTGGCAGACCTTCAATCCTCCATATTCCATTTTTCCGCCTCCTTTTATCCTCCCTCTCTAGCCGCAGCCGCACAGTAGGTTGTTGGCGTTGGCCTCTACAAGGCCAATGCATCATGTTTACTGATAAAAACCAATCCCGAAAAACTAAATGAGATGATAAATAACCCTTCCTCACCCTTTCAATCTAGTAGGACTGCTCAAGTGATTATTTCTCCCACTCAATTCCACCCGAATTCTGAAAGCAGAAAAAAAGTGGAGTGGACGATTTGAGGTATTACTTAATCAACAACAAATGCTGGCAAAAATCTATGCAGCCGGTCGCAATTCACATCCATAATCTGTTATAATTGGTTTATTTTCTAGGATTAATTTGATTTGAACCACTACCACAAGGCCAGCCCTTATACTTCTTGTACAAGTGTTCAAACTGGCAACACCTTACTAGTCAAGGTAGATGAATAAACCTAATCCTTACGAAGACTCGCGAAGAGTCGAAGACTCTGGATGTTTTCGCTTCCTGCTTTTAGCCAAAGCGCCATGGTTTCTACAAGCAAAAAGAGTTCAGACTAGAACTGCCCCATGACTACAGATGCCCAACTAATCTGGAGCCAATTCTTACCGGAAATTCTTCAATGTCTGCCCATTTGATGCCCCCAAGGTTAGACCGCCCTTTTGATTTCCATATCGTCTACTGTTTGTATCGACGAGAGACCGTCTTCTACAAAGTCGCATCAATATATCAAAAAACGAAAAAGTACAGATGAATGGAATATCCACGGATAATGGATCTTACGTCCCTACCTAGGAGCCTTTGCATTTCTATTCCAATGGTTATTCTTATCTCGCGGTTGCAGCGACTTATTTCTGAAGACAGAGCAAGGTAAAAGTGGAGTGATTTACCAAGATATTTATGAATTTGCATTTCAATTAAAGTATGACAAAAAACCTACGTCACTAATTTGTCTTCACCTTGTACTTTTTTCCATCGAGCGGGTTTTAACGGTAACGTCCGTAGAGGTGATGGTTGTGGCAATTGTGATGAAGTCCCATTTTCTAAGGAGCAGTAAAGCGGTTCATCAAACACTCGGATTTTGGGGGTAGACTCGACTGCTGATGTTGAACCCGCCTCTAAAAACAGAAAATAGGAATGATGCCTGGAGGTAAGAAGAGATGACGGTGTATAGATCCGCTCAACGCTCACCATACGTCCGTGATCGATGGATGTAGGATGAACGGATGGGAGAACGTTGGATGTTCTTAGCAGCTTCTGCGTAGACGTCGCAATCATCAAACTTGAAAATCGACGTCGGTATCGCGGATCGCCCATCAACCGTTGGTTTGCGACATAGCTAGAAAGCAGGTTAAAAAAGTACAATATTATCAAATGTTGTTAATATTGTTTACGCTACTGGGGGAGCTTCAAGTGTTTCAGAAGGACTGTACTTCTCAATGCAGCCACCAATGACCAAAAAAATTCAGCAATTAAGACTTCTTTTCAACCCCCCCCCCCCTATACTCCTATGCTCCAGATCTGAAGCTCTTGATCTACCAACAAGCATACTTCCTGCAGGTTTCCTCAGAAGCCTGCCATAAATAGGGTTTTTATCACTGACTTGAGTAAAGACCACTGAGAATGTGCAGTTATTTTATGAAACTAACCTAACTGAAATCCTTATCGACAAAAAATTCCTATCTAGGAATCAGTACAGAATCCGACAAAAACGCTGTTAATCCGCAAATCAGGTCCAGCAATATCCCTCAAGCGACTTCCAAAACAAGTAAGCGTACCTCTCCTGTGTGACCACGACCACCACAGTTGAAACAGCTTTTAGCTCGACGGATGGGGGAAGGAGTTACAACGACGGGCTTACCAGGTTGAGTCTAGGGGAAGCAAACATAAAATAACTTGTGAAAAAAAAAGCGACGTTCTGCCCTCCAAGAAGATCAGATATCTTGAAGCAACCTACCGTGTACTTGTATTGCCTCCATACGTCTGGACAAATCTAAAAAAAGTAAGAACGTTGCTGGAGAGTTCTGTTAATGGAAAATGAACGATTGAGAAAATTGTACTGGAATCTGATTCGTAACATTAGGTAAAACTTTTAAATCTTAATTGTAAGGAACAACAAAACCCAAAGTTCAAAATGCTTAAAAAATATTGTGAAGTGAGTCATCAGTGATCGATTTTACCCGTCTATAAAATAATACAATTATTGAGAGAACGGTGCATACAAGCAGGACATCGACTGTAGAGATAATATTTTGATTCACCCGCAGCAAATGGCCAAAGATTTCGCATCAATCCTCGGCATATCTTACACTCAAAGCCAGGCATTTGAAATGAAGGAATAAGACAACATCGCCTCAGAGAAAGGGTTAACCAAGTTCCTTAGTTCTAAAGTTAGGAAATTCGCAAACTAAATCATCGCCATCATGCATTATCCGCCGATACGTTGAAAGCTGACCAAAACGTATCTAAAGCTAAGTCTAAGCTATTTAAAATAACTTTGAAGTGACATAAAAGTGCAGAACATTTAAACTCACGTTGCTCTCATGACCCCTCCGCTTACAACGGGAGCAAATGGCATTAAAAAGACGAATTTTATTACGACAACGCGATGAATCGTGTCCAAATTCATTGCAAATGGAACAAAATTTGTTTGGGCAATTGCGAACAGTATGACCCTCCTGGGCACAAAGATAACACAGTGGTCCACTCTAGGCAAACAAAAACAAATGAGTTGGCAAATAGAGTAATCACGTAGGCGTATGAAAATTTCCCATTTAATCCACCTACCCGAGTGCATCCTATCCAAGTATGTCCCTTTTTAAAGCATCTTTCACAGGTTTTATCAGATTCCCGACATCGCCTTTTCCTCCACGATAATGAAGACAAGTCAGAGGAATCCAATGACCAGTATTTGCCATCGGAGGGAAGATCCTTAAGATCCTCAAGGAGGAGTTCTTTGTTCTTTTTTAGGCTCTCAAGAGATTGTTTTGAGATTCCCAGAAGTAGATCGAATTTCGGCCTTTTCGGAGATATGGTGGCACTGAAGGAGGAATCAGAAGAGGTATCCGTGGCATAGGTATAAACAGGATGCTCATCGCCACCATTCTGTTCCACATAACGATCCATCCGTTCGTCAGCCTTTTTAATGACACTATGTGGTGTATTACCGGTGATGGTTAAATACAGAGCTTTCATAAGAGTAGAATCGATGGATGGGTCTTTGAAAGAGGATTCTTGTAGCACTAAAGCAAACGAATCGCTTCTCAATTTATTCACAGGAGATGATGGTAATGCCTCTGAAGTATTATCCGACATGGAATTGGTAGAAACAGACGGCCTATCGAATTTCGTAGGCAAAGTCGCTGACTGGCACCTTGTAACTTCGCCGGTATCATTGTCATAAAAGACGGAAGCATAAAGTCTGGCCTCCGTCTCCTCATCTATATGATCACTATCGTATTCTATTTCTTCCTCCTCCATTGTTGAATCGAAAATCCCTAGACAGCACAGCCCACATACGAAAGAACAGAGTGCTAGTTTGGGAAAGGCACAGTAAACCTAGACCACACCACCTACTGAGTCCTAAAACCAATCAGAGACTAGGGAAGTGTCAATGCAGTTAAAAGCATTGTCAGAATAAATTAGAATGACATTTAAAAAATAAAAAGAGGGCAATTTGCTAATCAGAGGCTGTAGTGCTTAAATACGCTCGTAAAAAGCCTCGTAAGCACTATTAAGGTGAATTAATACCAGGTTTGTAAATGTTGTTTAAAAAGTGAAAATATTTGCTTTCATACTCTTTAAAACCAAGACAGTTTATTTTAACTGTTTGGACTGGTTTTTTTGTTAAAATCAATTCACTACATCTAAGGTAAAATCTGCGCTGGCGTATGGTAATTCAAAACGGCTTTGCAGTAGTTTAAAAATTGCAATCGTAGGATTTTTTATGTTTATGATATCTATAAGATACGTTTACTAACTCATCAGCAGCATTTGAAAACATTTAACCATCACGTTTATTAAAGTCAATATATATTACGCGCTCAAAAATGTGCCAGCATTTTGCTTGTGCCATAAGTCATCTGGTAAGTCACCTAAAAGAATGATTTTAATTTTGTTATACTACTTTCCTTCTGGCCCGCTCAATACGACCCCTGTTCCACCCCCTCATACCATATGCTGCCAAAAACATGGTGAGACATGACCCGGTGTCTTCTTTGATTTACTGTACTTACGCGTCTAAATAGAGTGTTGGCCATCTTTTTTGCCACACTTTTACCTCTCCTACCTCTTATCTGGCTGATATCAGTTGTCATCTCTGATTTCTGTGATTCCTGCATTTAGACCTCGATTCCACCAGCACCGTCTGCGGAGGACTATTCCACTTGGGATATAGTTAAGGCTACTCAATATGGCATCTTCCCTCGTGTCCTTGAATTAGTCGAACCGCCACCGGGTTCCGCCACCCCACCATTCGACGTGAACCAGTTAGATCACGAGGGCGTCTCTCTCTTGCACTGGGCAGCTATCAACAATAACTTCACCATTATCAAGTATCTCATTTCCAAAGGCGCCATCGTAGACCGAGTTGGTGGCAATCAGCAAGCCACAGCTCTCCATTGGGCCATTCGAAAACACCTTCTCGAAATGGTCGGCTTGTTGATGCATTTTGGGGCGGATCCGATGGCTCGGGATATTCAGGGCATGACGTGTCTTCATGTGGCAGCGCAGGAAGGCGCTACTGCTATTGTCCTCTACCTCCTTGCCAAGGGTATGGATGTCAATTGGTAGGTTTTGCTTATAGCCCTCTACCCTTTTTCATATTCCACCAGATCTAGTTAGTTATTGACTAGGTGGGTCTTTGTGATTCGTCAAAGTGCGGTTTTGTTTTTGTTGGTTGGATCGAATTTGGGCTCTAACTTGGAGTGAATTTGAGCCAGTGAATTGCTTCTATGGGGCTAAGTTTTTGTTCTAGGTTTGATGGTTTTTTGGGTAAATAGCCGTGATCCCATTAAGATCGGAATTGTTACTTTCGTTCTTTCAAAACAGGCCATCTTGTCAGTTGGCTTTTACCGTATAGGTAACCAGGTTTTGCTGCTAACTCCACCTATGTCTCTATTTAATTTCGTTCTTCTAAATTGGTCGTTTTGATTTTGTCTAGTTCACTACTTTCCTATCTTGGGACCTCAGTGATATTCTGGTCTTGTGTCAGAGGCAGCTCTAGATAATTCAGCAGGTTTTGCACTCGCGATAGGCTTTTCTTTGAAATACGTCTGACTGTCGAGCTGTTTTAATAAAACTTATTGTCAATCCTCTGTCATTTGTGCGAGTTGCCCTTTGTTCTGACCGAAAATCCTCATTTTTTACGACAGGCTTCCCCTCTGTGTCAGTTTTGCTGTTCTTGCCGACAGCGTTAATTTACTGCCTTGAATTTTCTTCACATTCTCCGTAGGCGCAGATTATCCCGGTTTTGATGCTTCTCTGGGCCGCTTTTTTTGTTCTGATGGGCGGTTTTTCGTTATTCTTATTCCAGCCTTCTCAACGGCTTGTTTGGATAATCCCGTTTTTTTGGTCGAGTCATTTTTTATAATGTTGGTTTAGTTTTCCTGTAATCATTTCGATTGGAACTATCTACATGTCGAGAATTGTCTACTTTGCGGACTTTTTTGTCCAAATTTGTGTGAACTTATAAAACTCTTACGATTTTTGTCACCTTCAGTTACTTTTTGTGCTTTATTGGATCGAAACTGGAAAAAAAGGTGCTTGCATTTATGGCGAAGAATTGCCCGTCCTAATGAGTGATAAATGCCAAGTTTTGTAATTATAGGGTAACCATACAAGTTGGCACGGTCTGTTGTTAATGCCACAACTTCACAAAGCTTCTTAAAACATTTTATTCGTTTAAATACCCAACATTCCAATTCAAAATTATTTCCCAACAAGATAGGAGCCTGCTACGAACTGCATTTCTATATGGCGTTATCTCCTGAGACACAAAGCCTAACTCTACCCAACCTCGCTTCTATCCAAGCCGTAATTGCCAAATATCCATTCTATCTCCCGTGTGATAGTGTAGTTCCAAGAAAAATAAGTTAAACATCACTTGAAGAAACATCTCTAGGGCAATACCGAAGGACGAAAGTGAGGCAGTATCTCATTCCTATCTCAACTAGGTTACTAATCTTCTCTTGGATAAGCTGTGAAATAGGGAGTTTTAGATTGTCTTCTAGAATAAACAGGCTTTTCTTTGAATGTTTGACTAGTCTTACCCATGTTAGAGCTCTACCGAGTAGGTGGATCTCTTCCAGAAATTACGAGCGATCGATTGCATCTGCGGTCTGCTGGCACAGTCTTCCCGGCGTAAAGTGGTGGATGCTTTAGAAGTATGGGATGAGTAGCGGGTCAGTCGTTTCGGGATAACTGGTAACATGCTTGTTTTCTTAACGTTGGAATTTAAGGGCTTTTTCTCATTACAATTCCGTCAGTTAGGTTGTAATCCCCTCCCGACAGCTCGTTCTTGTAACTTGAAATGGAGGAAAGAAGAATAGATTAATAAGCTGTCATCTGTTGATTTATGGCGTGTGGATGGAGCTGGTTTGCCTGGGTTTCACTGCTTTCTCTTTCCAGATGCTGTAGATGTGGAATTACTGTCACCAGCGTTGCACATGACTGGAAGCCGTCCTTGATAGGGCAGTCTCGAATCACCTCGACTTATCGATAGCTACACGCAATTCTTCATTACCACCTAGGATTAGACTGCTTAAACTATTTTGGAGCGGTAGATCTTGCTACCACGTGCCGCACCCTCTCCAAATGGTATGGAGATGGATTTTGGACTCGTGCTGTAAAGCAGGTGGGCTGGAATCACATCTATTGCATATGAATAGCATTTAATATGATGAGGTAGAGCTGGAAAGCAGAGGGGTTTGGTAGAGGGGGCTGTAAGGTTAAGGTGCAGCTAGGTTGTAGCGGTGCTGCGCTTAGGCATATTTCTGTTTTGTAATTCATGCGCAACGGCTGTAACCAATTGTGTGCATTTGACGGCTCCCTACAAGTTAGAACGGATCATTCGAGCAAGTTGAATTGATGACACCACGGAATTTTTTGGTTGTCTGATACTATGGGTGCGTTCTTTTTTACCAATTTGACTGCTAGGTTGTGATAGCCGCAAGTTCTGGTTTTCTCCAGGATGCATATGCGAAGGCCACCTTTAATGAGTGCAGCACTGTTGGGAGCAAATATGCCTTGTGATGTTGAAGACTTCCTATTTAAGATCCTAGTCTTATCTATTCTGGCTACTTAATTTAAAACCACTTCAATGAGTAAGTCATTTTCGATGTGATTACCCATCGAAAGAGTGGAAGTTGTCGTGTCATTGGCACTGAAGATGTTATAACCTCATTACGCTCTAATACTTAGTTTATTTGGTTTGAATTCTGCCAATTTTTCCTTTTTTGAGAGAAAGATTGAAGAAAATGTGTGGCAGATCTCATTGCACCCGTTTTTTGTAAAGAAGCAATCCAAGGGAGTATCTGAGCTCTTTGTTTCTTCTTTGTTTTGGTGACTGTGGGGTGGATTTCAATTGATGTAATTACGTAGACTGTTTCTACTTTTTTTTGCAGAAAGACCAACTAAAGTCTGAAGTATAACTTTTGAAGCTACTTAAAACTAGTGATGAGATGGTCTTGATATCTGAGAATGGAAGCAGACATTGGTTCTCTCGATATAAGCCTATTTTACACTTTGAGGTTGTAACTAGACATATTTTAATGTGCCTAGCAGTAATCGCTCGGCGCAAGCGTGTAGATTTTTCGACTACCGACACTGGAAGTGTTGCGCCACTTAATAGTATGGCATAACGCGGCTTTTGATCATTCTGGTGCGGATGCCCTATCACACTATTTCATGACGCAGGTGACAGCTAATTTCTGACATGTGAACTCTGGGACCTTTTGCAGAAGAGAACAGCCTTTTTCATACAAGAAGAACTGAAAAGTAGCTTGTTTAATGGGTCACACTGGACACTGTAGTTGCAGCGTTCTGAGTCTCTGATGTCCCGAGGCGATTAATAATAGCGTACTAAGGTTGGCCAAGGCCACGCTATCGGGGCGGAAGTACGCATCACGGCGACTGAGAGGCTATAGGCATGCAAACTACGGAGACTGAAGAATACGGCCTGTTGAATACAAAGCTAATTAAATCATTTGCAAGGAAAGTTAAGTTTAGGGTGCACATCTAAGGTCAGTTTGCTCGAGACGGGAGCACATAAGTCGTGATTTTCATTTTGGACAATATAATTGGGACGGTCGGTCACTTCCCGATGTGTAACTTCAGATTGTCCAGTTTTTTGCTCTGGAAACCCCTCTGCAACAAGGTATTTTGCGTTTTTGAGTTCCGGAGCGTTCAGGAATTCTTTCTTGTCAGCGCACAATAATGGTAGTATGACGCCCCGAGTCCATCCGGAAGTAGCAGGCTACACTGGTATGGAAAGGTATGAAGGAGAATAGAAGACATGGCCAGTGCCTCTTCCCCCCCCTCCCCGAAGGAAGCATAACTTGTGTAGGTTAGAGTCCATGTGATCAGCCATGTTGTTAAACAAAGTGGCAAATCTCCACAGTGGCTGTCAAAGCTCCTATCTTGATCTAGTTTTCTGAAAAATTTGTAAACTACGGCTGCACTTAAAGTACTCTTTTTGCCAAGAAAATTCTCCCCCCTTCAAGTTTATTCGGGGACATTTTAGCCTTTCACTTTCTGTGGAAGTGTTTTGAGTTTAGGTACCTCGCCATTGGCTTTTAACAGTTCTGGCCAGTCCATCAGTCAGCCAATGCTACGTGAAGTCGCGGTTATTTTTAAAGCCACTTAACCTGCGCTGCCTCCACATCGTGAGTGAAGTCCACCCAACATGGCTTAAATAAGAAAGTGACAGGATTTTTTCAATCCCCACGGTCTGCAGTCTTCACAACCGCGCTGCACTCCGCCAGAAATGCCCTGGGGAAAGGGCGGGCCTTTGTCTGAGCTTGTCTGATAGTATCAAAGCCTCAGTTGCGCGCCCTCATGCGACTGCGTGCACTTGTCTGCTTCATCGGTCCGTCTGTCTGGTTGCATCTATTCCAAGCTCTGGCTTCTACTAGTCTTCACTGCGAGTCGACACTCTTTGCTTTGGGCAGATTATTATCGAGGCTCTTTGTCGTGAGTTCAGCTGCTCGTTTGTGTGGTTCCTCTTAATCCACCGACCCTTTTATGTAGAAAGTAATATTGGTGATTGAAAGTTGATCAGAGAATGTAGGAAATAGCTTTCCTTTCATCCTCAATGCTTTTATGTAGCTTTGTAATTCCTTTCACGCTCAGTGTGGTCCAAGGCTGGTTGGATCTCCTGATTTCTATAGTGCATCACAAAGGAAACCTAGCTTTCTGGCAATGAAATGGTGGGTACCTGAAACATGTGGATTGGGCACACGGCCTCTTAATGATGGAATGCAAGGCCCACTTCTGCTATGCGTCAATGAGCCAGGAAATGATCCTTTCTCTAAACCCCATTTTCTGTACCTTGAGGCTAAGGAGAGAAGAAAAAATCGATAACCTGGAATCCACCGCCTATCATTGTCAATCCGAGGCATGAAGCGTAAGTGGTTCGTCCAGCTTCCGCATCTACCTTTCCAGCTAGTGTGAGCTTAACTCGATTGTTTCATCTCTTAAGTCAAGCATTATTAAAGGTTGCTCTTGATTGTGAGGTGAAGTGTCAATGTTGTCACCTAATTCCTAACGTCATCCCAGCAGGGGCCTTCCTCAAACTGTCGCATTTATATTTAGGTGGTTCCACTTTCAGCATTGAATTATTTGAAATCATTTTAAAAGGGGTTTTCTGCTAGCTCAAAATGCTGTGCAAAATTCCTCCTCTAGAACCGAATTAAGCTCACCTCGTAGAGCAGACGGGTTTGAATCACATCTATCAGCTTTAATGGGCATTTTCTGATGTAAATGTAGGTTGCGATTCCGTGGAAAGTAATAGGGAGCAGAAGATGGATTACTGTATCGATGATGACCTGCCGCATGTCCCTTTTGTATCCACACAATTGCGGGCATTTTGCAACTCCTCACAGGTTACAAAAAGTCTATGGTGACGCAAACTGGAAACCGAAGGAGCTTTTTTGTCGCTTTATATTTTCAGGGATAATCATAGTTTTCATGTGTATGCGGGTTTCGTATGCCCAAGCTAGGTTGTTGCTGACGAATGACGCTGTTCAGGGACGAATTCGATCTCTTGTTCCTGGAGCTATGGTGGTTTTTTGTTCTATTTCCGGTCATCTTTTGCCTTAGTCATCCAACAGCTGTCCATCGTGGCGCTTATGACGTACTTACATAGCTCTGCTTAGCTCAGCGCCTATCAGAAACGTGTCTGAACTAATGAGGCTCAGTTTACAAATTGAAGCTCGGATTAGAAAATTTCAGGAAAGGCGGGCTTATTTCCCCCTTCCCGGAACTGCTGACACCTTGGGGTCTTCCCATTCAATGGCTAATCGTCGGAGCGTAATTTATCACTTTTACTAGGTTTTGGTAAATCTGTTTCGAACCTGCATTTGATCGGAAATTGACGGAAATCCAACTACTTCTCTCTCATCATCACAACCTGCCTATTGTGGTCGCAGTGTTTGGGGGTGGGTCACGTAGGCCCAGTGTATCAATTCCCAAGCAGAAAGTAGTGGGCATGCTGTGTCCGATCTTTCATGCTTGTCCATTGCCAGACTCCACAAGTGCAGTTTGTCACTTTCATAAGAAGGAACGTCAAGGGCCAACTTAACTTTGCCCATGATTTTTGTCACCTTTGTATGAAATAGTAAACCCTCAAAGCAACGTTTGAAGATAAACACCGAATAAAGTCCCGATCAAGAGTTGTTGGTAATAATACCGACCTTCCTTTCTCTTCCGCATAGCCCTATTTCTCTGCAGGTACTCTGTTTAGACGTCAGATCCTTGATGGTGCTGTTAAGCCCAGCCTTGATCACAAGGTAGGTGACAGCAATATGTGATCGGAGCATTCAATGATCGATCCTTTAAGCTCGGTTTGTTGATTCCGTGAGTCGTTAATGACCTGGTCCTTGATCAAAAAACAGCTGGTACTAAACCTCTTTGCTCCCCGATCTTCATAACAGCAGACTCCTGAAACTCATTGTATGAACGCCTCTAGATAATTTTGCACATACTTTTGATCAAAGTTGACATGAATGGGGCTACTTTGCTTCTCCTTTCCTCACAACCTTGTGTATCTTGCAGTCTTAAATTCGCAGCCTGCTCTTCAAATTCGTTGAATTATTATTATTTTCTGCCAACTTATTATATGATTAAATAGTTTCGGAAATAAGGTCTGCTTATCTTCATAACTACATCCCTTGGAATTGGAGCGCTCAGTGGTAAACCATTGAAGCCTAATGTGTGAGCACCGCGAGTTATTGGTGAGCTGACCCCCCGGCTATGTGACTCCATCTCTGCCTGTCCGTTGCAGTCGCAGTACTAAAGGCCTCACCCCGCTGATGACCTGCTGCCTCTTCGGTCGTTCGGCGGAGCCCCTGCAGGTGCTCCTTAGCTGGGGGGCGGACATGCGATTGTTGGACGAGCTACACGGCAATACTGCGGCCCACCTGGCGGTGCGCAGCAACAACTTCACCGCCGTGCTACAACTCGACGAGGCGGGTGTGGATTGGCGGATGACTAATAATCTGGGCCTTTACCCCTATCAGGTTAGCTCCTCTACATTTCGCTGCCTCTTTGGCGTGAATGCATCGTTCTTTAGTGGTCTACATAGCATCAGATTCCATCATTTGCACACCTCGAAAGTGTTTGGCAAAAGACGCATCTGCTATTTCGCACTTCCTTTACTTTTGGATATTGTTTCACCATCATTAGTGGATTGGATTCTAAGTTGAATTAATTTGGTCGGGAATTATTCCATCTGTTTGGCTTTTGATGCAACTGCTTTTATTGGTGAGTGGAAATGCGGTCCACTTACTGCGGAGCCTAGTGATCATTTCTTTTCCGGTGTTTAAATAGCCTTAACTGCCGACGAATTGAGGTGCTATCTGTCAGGTTAGCTAACATTCCTCCTCGTCCTCGGAAAGGCTGGAGGCGGGTTAGAATGATTTGTTTTTTAAATTAGATTTGGTAAAATTAATTCCTTGCACTCAAACCTAGTCTCTTAGCCACCGAAAAACTTAACTTCTCTTACCGTAGTGGTTTTCTTCGTCCCCTTCTGCCACTCAGAACTAAGCTATGTTGCTCTTATCGAAATATCATTTGGCTAATCTAAAGATTGGTCTCCTTTTCTCATGGAGTCAGCTCATGCTCCTTTTCTTTCGCCGAGTTTTTTTTCTGAGGTAAAAGTTAACCAGAAGTGTTGCTTGTTGGGGGACCATTGTATATTCCTTCCCCCATTTAAATCCTATTTCTTGGTTTGCTTACAGACCAGGTCTTCTTTAGCCAAAGGTAATCTACCTTTTAGTGGTTGATATGTATGCAGGACTTCCGTGTTTATTGGCACCTTTTTTTCTTATTTTCCTCCGTGTTTCCATTCTTTTCTTCGGGTTTTCTTTTTGTCTGGAGATAGCGGTTGACTCTTTCATCCCTTCTTCACCTCTCTCCCTGAGGTGAAATGAGGTGCATTGTGGAGTTAACTCGATTCTTTATCTTCCTTCTTGCATCCAAATTTACGCCCAATTGCCCATAAATTGGGTCCACGTTTGGCCATATCTTCCAGTCACCCACAAACAGGATTTTTCCTCTTAGATCAGAGAGAAATATGGAATTGCGGCGGTCTCCGCCCTTTCTATTCCCAGAACCGACTGGCAGCGTGGGTTAGAATGTAGTATTCCGCAGTCTCAACCCATCAACCAAGCTTGAAACCCCTCAGCCTTTGAATCATCGTGTAATTTAGTGTGATTGTTTTTATTTGGGGATTAAATTGGCTACTCTGTATTTTGATCATCAGAAGACGATATTCTTGCCTTCCCGTGACATCGCCTCCCTCTTCTGCTTTGAGTCAATTCATGTGATCAAAGGCATACTACCTGGCATAAATGGCGGTGATTAACTATGATTGGCATTTACCCTCTTATTTGTTAAATTTTCAATTGTGTGACAAAGAGGTGAATAGCTACGCGGCGGATTTGTCGAAAAAGTACTTGATTGTACCGTCAGTCTTCTTGGCAGTCAGATGTTTTGCCTTGATTACAAGCAGGCTCCCAATGGATCCCTCCGCCGCCGCCTCCTCCTTTGACTTCCAAGTTCACTAGTGTGACCTCAAGCGACTGAAAATGTAACCTGTTCCTTCATGAGGGTTGTTTGGCTATCCCACTTCCCTTTTTTGTGATGAATTTTTGTCTAGTAGTCAAATCAGCTCATACATGTTCTTCTCTTGACTGCTCTTTGTTTGATCTCCACATGCTCTCAAAGGCTATTCTTAGTATTTTACAATGTTGTATGTGCTGAGATATGTATATAAGTACCCTATCATGTCTGTTTGGTATGCGATTTAACGTCGGCTTTTCTAGCCTTCAATAAGTCACAGTGATACGTGGCACTTTAAGGTAATTTTTTTCAAACCCATGATGTATCCTTTCCGTAGATATTGCATTCATAGGTTTTAGGCGTCAGGTTTTTGAAGTGGGCAGCTCCATCTCTGCGAACTTTCACCTTTCCTTACCATTTATCATCCTGTATTTAAGGCCTCAAATGGATAATCGGGGGAACTCATAGAGGTCAGTACAGAGATGTCTTCAGAAATGAAAGCCAATTATCCTAGATGCTTGGTATTTTCTACTATTAGGTGTTGTAAGCTTGCTCTACGGAGTGCAAGTTTGTAACTTCATCTCGGGTGTACGAAAGCGTGATTTTTTTCCCTTTCCCACACAGCTTGCAGTAATAACGGACTATACGCCAGCGTAGGCAGTTCTTTGTTAGTATACCACCAAAGCCACACCTTAGTTCTATCACTAACATCTATTCTGCCTAGGCTCTGAGTTTGTTTGTTCACTGGTTAGAGGCCAAACAACAATCACTGCTGTGATATATCCTCTCTCTACTTGTGAGAAGAAAGGAGATAATGTCCCATTTTCCGTGTTCTGCTGGTGATATTAATCCAAGCAATTGTCTTTTCTCGGCTTTTATCAACGTTTTGTTAACATAAATAATATATTTCGTTTAAGGCAACATCTCATTGGTTTATGAAAGGTTAAGAATTGGGCATTCAATGTTAACAATGGTCCTTGCAGTTTCCCCATCAAACAGTCAGTAGACCTCAGTGGTAATGCCATTCATCTGGCTCTGAAAGCATTCGTTTTCTGTTTCTTCGGGATCAGCTTCACTTAAATTTACGGGTTTGATTCTGCAAACAGTCGTGGAATGTAAGCTTTGTGGCATGAGGTTCCGCATTGTCTTATGAGAGTAGGAATAGGACCTTCCTCCCACTGACTGATACTAGCTGTTCCTGGAAGAAAGGTATTTAACGAAATACGTTGATTAGGTGGCAAGACTGACCTCATGGAGTCAGGTTCTCCATAGCATAAAGAGAGAGAGCTTCAGAAGTAGCGTTGTCTTGTGTGTTAAAATTCCCTTTTGAAAACCCGTACTTTTTGGCAAATCGGGTAAATATATGGTTAGTTAAAGTCTTTGATTATTCACCATAAACCTAATTGGCATTGTTTATTTGAACACCTCAAATTCCGATTACTCCCTCGCGAAATGACGGAAGGGCTCTTAGTTCGTCAGTGGGCAAATGGAGTTTTCCGCCAAGTGATTGAATAATTATCGCTGTTGGTTCTACTCGTGTTGGATTCCGACCCGCCCATTTCATTGAACATTACATATTTAATGATGCAATCTTGCCTCATGTTAGGACGGTCCTATTGCTTCACTGTTGTGTGCATGATCGAATTAAGGGTGAAGTAGAAAGAAACCGGCTTTTTTGCCACTATGGGGATGGGCCGTCTTGCACCTATAACGCTGTTACAGAAACTTAGCCTGGCCTCTCTTTCATTGAATATTTCATATTCAATGACCTTACCTCGCATTCTAGATGCCAATTTGGCCACACCCTTCTACTAATCCAAACGGATAGGATATAACTATGTGTTATTTCTGCCACCGTAGATGTCTACCCACCCCTGGATGAACCATAGAGTAAAGCAGATGGCTATTGCCCGGGGTCTTCTTCCTCCCTCTGAAGCGGATTCTGGCGATGACATTGAGGATGAAATTAGGGACGAAGGTGTTCCAGAAAACCCAGCAGCAGATGCCAGCAAAGGTCATCGCAGTCGTCGGCGTCTTCGCCGTCGCCGTTTTCGCATTCACTGGCCCGCCAGCTGCTACTCCAAACGCGGGCTGACCTTCACCGCATTCATGCTCCCTATAGTGGGTTTCCTTGTCATTGGCGCCCTCCTCCAACTCGATTTTGCCGCTCTACTTTCCCCTCTCCTGCCCTTATGGACGGCATATTTGCTGAAGGCGGTGGCCGTACCCCTCGTGTTTTGGCAGTTTCGATCGCATATCATGAAGTTGCAGACTAACGAGTATGTGGTGAGTTTGGAGACGCATTTCCTCATTTTGATAGAGAAATTAGGGTTTGACACCACTCGGTTGGCATGCTAGGATCTGCGTACAGTTAAATGGTTTTAAAGTCACCATGAACGCAGGCACTTTCTTTATCCCGACATCTGAAAAATGTAGCAAATGGGTCAGCTTCGCTGTGACCAGCACTTAAGTCCTCAGGTTGAGGTACACACTATACTAAAGTATATTTGTTTCGCTGTATCATTTTCGGTGAAGTGTGCTTCAAATGATGCTATCTACTTCTGAGGAAAATTTTGGATCCGTTTTTGAGAAAGTGGGCGGAAATTCATGTTTTCGTATGGAAAAACCAACGACATTTACGAAGATTGGCGAATTAAAGGTTGCCACTGCCTGTAGGTTCCAAGTTGACTGGCAAGTCTTTCACGTTTTGCATTAACAAAAATGGAATTTATGAAGCTAGATCTACAAAGCGCGTTCAAGAATTCTTATTAAACTTTGTAAAGAATTCAACTGAAGGCGGATAATTTTAACTGAAATGTCAAAGTTTGTTCTTTAGGGAAGCACCCCTTTTTCTCTACGGTCTGCCAGAAGCAATTCCAACTGGAGTCGAAACATGAACTCCACCTTTTGAATTCGTGAAACTTCTTGAAAATGGTCTGCTTGTCACCCACACCAGTTGCCGAAACTGTCGTCAGTATGATCCGCTACTTCATTTTCTCCAAATTCTTTGTAACCACTTTCACGAGTAACTTCCGCAGATTTGGAAATGAGTTAAATTCGGTTCGTAAAGCAGATAGACCCAAACTACATTCATCAGATTATTTTGACCAATCATTGCGCCTCAACGTATAATTGCATGTGAATTCAAGACGTCGGAAAGGTGGCAGAGTCATTAGAGTGAGCTGCATCAGAAAGGGTGCGAACTTTTTGATCTCGGAATGCGGTCCATTGTTGGAGTCCAGTAGCAAGAAATCCTCTGTCGCGAAAAGAACCCGATGTCTTTTAAAGTTCACAGATATCCCGAAAGCTCTCCTTTTTGAAGCACAAAAAATCGTCCATTCGGGGAGGGTTCATTTGGTTAAGTTGGCTAATTAGCTCGTAAAGTTTGCGTGTTCTCGTTTTAGATGAAATTTCAACGGAACATGAGTGATCGAAGTGATTAATTAAAAGGGGAAAAAAGACCATGTTTTATAGAGAAGCTTGGCATTTGTTAGGCCTTGGAGATTGCAAGTGCAGTGCTCGAGAAATAGCATTTTGGGTAGATTTTTTTGGTGGAGAAAATTAAACAGTTTCATCGCTTCTCGGTTTCCAAATCATAAGGAATGAGGCCAAATTCCTAACCGAAGGGAACACTTTATTCTTCTTTACACAGAGCACCAAGAGATTAATGGGGGTGAATGGTTCAGGGTATTGCAACTGTATGCTGCATCTGAATCAATCTGCGAATATCTGATGAATGGAAAACGCTTAAGACGAAAGACATTTTAGAGGCTGCTCTCTCAACTGCCAGGCCTATGCTTCTTACTCAAATTCCTTTTGAAAAAGAAGAGAAGAGGCGAAGTAAATGGAACCACAAATCATTGGAAATGTCATAAAGTTCACAACAAATGAAACTCATCGTTACCACTGTCATTTTAGAGGTTGTAGATATTTACGAGTCCCAGGATACTAAAAAATGGTCTGAAACGGATAGTTTTGGAACATTTAACGTGATTATCTTCAAGTAGTCATTCCTCATAGGGCACATTCTACGATCTGATTTTCGGTCCTAGAACCAACCCTATAGAACTCTTCTAAATAGACCAAATGTCTCGTCATTTATTTATGCCTTTTCTGCTTCCTTTCTCTTCAAGTTCCTCATGGTCTTCAGCCTGAGCCTAATCACCACTGCCAGTCTCTCCGTTACCGGCATCTTTCTCCTCATTCCCACTGTGGGGACTTCTCATACCCTTACGCACTTCTCCTTCTGCGCCATCCTCAGTGCTCTCTGGTTCTCCCTCTACCGCACTGGCACCATCAATCCAGGCTTCATTCCCTCCTCCTCCGCCATGGTCACCACTTCCGCCTCCTCCGTCTCAGAAGAAGCTGTTGCGATCGCCGTCGTGAATGTGGTTGACACAGAAGTGCGTCGAATCCTCGCGGAAGGTGTTGGCGCTACTGATGGGTCTCGGCGTCCAGCTCTGTTGAAGCGCTTCTGCACCACCTGTTTGGCGCGCAAGCCGCTGCGATCGAAGCACTGTCGGGCGTGCAACCGCTGTGTAGCCCGGTTTGATCACCACTGCCCCTGGGTGGGTAATTGTGTGGGGCAGAACAATCACCAGTGGTTTATTGCTTATCTCCTGGCTACGTCGTTGGCATTGATGCTCTTCATGCGAGAGGCGGTGTTGTTTTGGCAGGCGGTGCCGCCGTGCTATGACCCAGTGAAAACGGATGAATCCGGAAATCCGGGTAGGGGGCCTCTTGTTAAGCTCATTTCTTCCTCTTATTACTTTATGTTTTGTCAAGTATTCTATTTAAGCTACCCTTGCAGACATCAGACGTCGAACGAGCATTCCGGATTGTTAGTGTCAAAATTTGAGTAGGTAGTTTTAGGTAACTTCATTGCCGATGTTGAAGCAGAGCTAAGCTATCTCCGGGCATTAAAGTCGAAGAAAGAGAAACGGATATGGAAGCACTGATGGGGGAGGGGTCTCCTCGCGCTTTCAAGCTACTTATTTCCCGAGGCTTATTGATCAAAGTTATTCAATCCCCTTCATAGAGGCATGGAGCTTCGTAGATTTCAATGGATTCATCAGTCAGAGCCTCTTTGCCAACTGCGTTTGTTTTGTTTCCTCCTCTCAGTGCAAGGTTGGCGCTACTATTGGCGGTGGACCTGGGCAGCTGTATGGTGTGATCCCTGGGTAGCCTACTGTTTCGCCAACGCCGCCTTCTACGTCATCTGGACGAGTCTTCTCTTCCTTGTCCACCTCCACCAAATGGCCTGGGGTGGGGTGACTACTAACGAGCGTATCAACGTCGATCGCTATGTGGAGTTCTCCGGTGGACTCATCTGGCCCAAGGCTTCGTCCTCTTCTCGATGTTGTTCTTGCCTATGCGGTCTCCCACCTTGCCCCTACAACCGCGGAGTTACGGGCAATTTGGCCGATCTCTGTCGAATTCAATTGGGCAGGCATCAGCCCGTCAACTGGTGTGATATCTATGAATTAAATGCCTTTGTGGAGGAGCAGGAGCTTCTGAAGCGAAAGAAGCGAAATGGTGGCGAATTCATTGCCTGATTAGATTGGCAAGGCCGTGGTGTTCTCTCCCCTACCCTTCATCTGTATCTTGATTACTTCTTCCTTTTTATTCTCGAATTGTTGCGCGAGTGTGTGAATTATGGGAATACACGAGCATTTTTATTATGCTATGTGTTGATATTCTTTTTTACTCTTTCACCAGCTTGCTTGCCTGGATGTGTGCTTTTTGATTGCTTGAAAGATTAAAATGTGTCCAAATTCTCTCTTGTTTCTGGGTTTGTGATTACTTTTTTATGAAGCAAGGAAAGGTTGCGTTTTGCATTTTTTAAATGCCAGGAGTGGAGGGCTTGACGATAAATTCGGCTTTCAAACGAAGAGTCAATTGGCGAAAACACTCGAAATTTGAAATTAGACATGGCTTTGCATGCTTACCCGGTATTCCCTGTCCAATCTTATTTAGGGTCGAATCTGAGTTTCGATCTCGCTTCGTTGGGGCCACCTTTTTTGCATTATTGTAAAGGTGTCTCGTTCTTTGCATTCAATGGATTTATCATTTTGGCGTTATTTTTTAAATAGGGAGACCTGGTTTCTTAAGGCTCTTTAACCTGGTCGAGAGAGCTGAGGCATCATCTTCTCGATTGGCTTCAGTGGTTTAATGTCATAGTAACTGTGATCTCATCTGAAGATAGCTGGCGCGAAGTGACAGCTTTTCGATAGTCGTCAAGCCTCCTTGGCGGAGGGAGGGGTGAAATGCATTTCTTTGTTTCTAGTCCGGTGGAGTTGCTTCGATCCTGTTAAATATCATTTTATAGCTCAGCACCTAAGGCCGGTGAACTTGGACCAATTTTTATTTTCGTACATTAGTTGGAAAGGCAGGTATTTACCCATGAGAAAATTGGTTTGGGTTATCTCTATCCTCTCCCCCCCCCCCCCCCCTCCTTTTTCTTGGTTTTGTGAACCGAGTCAAAGCTACTCTTCTGCGATCTCGTTTTTTCATTAGCTGTGGATATGGTTGTAAGTGCTGATGCTTGCGTTCTCACTTAAGGTGGGTGTTCGCTTAGTTCGCTTTGAACCCTTGTCGACATCTCCTAATCCCCTTAAAGCCCCTCAGTCCGTGTTTCTTGTTTGATTGCCTAATTTTCCAGTCATTGCAAGGCTAATTTTCTTTTTGCAACTATCGTCATTGTCTTCTCTAGAATCTGAAGTACCCCTTCTTGGTTTGGCCACACCAAGCGCTTTGCAGTGAAGGTTTTACTGGATTGCTACACATTTTAAACTTAAATAAAACAAGGGAGAAGGGTCTTGAGACGAAGCGTGTTGAGGCATTTTCATGTAAACCTCAGAGTTTAAACGTTTTGGAGGTTTCAGTTGTTATTTCTCTTGTAATTCAGTCCCACTTTGAAATCGGTTTACCACGTATTGGTTTGTTAACTTTGAATACACTGGGTCCTTTTCATCACTGACAGGGTTCTTCCATTTGATCGTCGCTTTCCAGTTGTAATTTCCCATTTAATTTGAAACAGTGACATTTTAGCTTAGCAACACTGGGATTAGTCTTGGGTTTAATCATATCGCATGTTTGTGGATATGCATTCTCAAAAACAAAAACTACGTTACCCTCGATGCGTTCATTGTGCTCCAAACGAGTTTTGCTAATTCGTGTTGAAATCAGTACTTCACCTCACGTCGCCCCATCACTATTAACACAAGGTGAAGTTTTTATAAACCGAAACTATGTGACTGCAGAGGTTTTATTCGTTATTGTTACGTCCAATTCTTCCCAACAAAACAATCTTGCTGTGAATCCTACCCTATCCCACATTCTTAACCATCTATAGCCATCCGCATTCCTGTCTCCCTTTGCATCTGTCTATCCAATTTAGCTTGTGATTGTCTGATGTAAAGAAGGAGATGATGCTTCCACGGGAATGACGATGGGATATGATAACCCAGTGTTTCCCTCCACCTTGAAGCACTACATGAGGTCTTCTCTATGAGGTCAATTCTGCGCCATGCGGCATGGTGTGATGTTTGGAGTTTGTTCCCCAAGAATACCGCTTTCCTCCCACCAACTCACAGGTTCTGGCTGATGCTCGTAAGGACTTACTTCTTGCGCACCCTCGCTACTCGTAGGTAGAATTCGGGCGTAGCTGCTGTTTAGCCTTCAGCAAGAGGCAAACCCACAGTAAACAGTAGCGTCTGAAGTGAACCGCACACAAAGCAAGGGTAGGCCTGTGCAGCTGAAGTGATCCGTGTCAGATGAGCGGGTTGAGTAGTTGGTGGGTCATCAGGTGATAATCATTGAGATGACCAATTACAGTCAGTCAGCAGTTTGACATGCGTGTCGCCTCTGTATGTCGTAAAGTTTATGAATGCGGTGGGGATTGATTGTCTGTGAAACATATTTTTCTCTGTCAATATCCAGTTCCCATTGCTTTCTCACCTCAACTGATGCGGGTGTAAAAGAGTCGTTTCATCAATCACGCAAGACACCACTAAAAATTCTTCTTGTGTTGAGATTGGCGTGCCAGTGGCGACACGTAATTCGGCATTATTATCAAGAATAGAGGGGCTTCCGTCTCTAAGTGTTCCATCACCATTCCCCCTTCTGCTACTGCGTACTGCGCCTCTTTCAAACGGCATAGAAGTGTCACGTGGAGCCTCTGTAGCCTTGAAGCCGAGTCAAGCTCTTCACTTAACGCAGACAAGCTCAAATCATGTTTGCCTTGTTGAACCGACACCTAATAGTACAGGCATAGGTTCAATATATGAGGAAATTGGTGGAACAATGAAAATTCCCATGCTAATGACCTGGCGGACATATTTTACAACATGCTTTTAACATGTTTAAACAGGTCACTGGAGCGGGCTTTACTGAAAACCACGCTAGCTTTTTTTCCGTCCATTAAGAATTTTAAGCGGTGAATTTTTGTTTGTGTCTACTTTATGCCCGCCGATCTGGGTTAGTAGGCTTACATTTCGGCATTCGCGTGTTAACTCGGTGATAAAGTCTCAGCTTGTCACTTTTATTCGCGTTCCCCTCCCTGCAGGAAATTGTTCAGTCGTGCGAATTTATAACAGAGTGACTTGCATTCTCTGACTGGGAGCTGTAAATAATCTACCAACTTGGGGAAGATCCGATTTTTTTACAAGAATTTGTTCTGGTTATTGCTTTCGACTCACGATGCTATCAAAGGGCCAAGAAAGTCGCGCTTATTTTAGGGCAGTTTCTTCCGCTGTGTAAAATTATCTTTGTTAACTTCAAGTCTCGAAGGTGGATTTTTTTTTGATTCCGAATTTGAATAAACCTTGCTTCTTTGTTTCCTTTCTTCATGGTGTTGCTTACTCTCTGTAGGTGTGAGTCACGATGTCATTTACCTGCACCCTTTTTCTGGTTCGGTGTAAGAGTTTCCACTACACACACCTACTCGGAATGACTCAGATGGCCTCAGATTCCCCCTAGAAGCACAAAGTACTTTCTTTTTTCTTGTTTTCTTGATTTTATTCACCTTCCCTGAATTACTCCATCAGATCTGACATTTATATTGATCAGTCTCAATTGTCAGTCTTCAGTGTCACTGGATCAAACGTGGACGTCTTGACAGGAACTGAAAAGGTACTCCAATTGGGGATAACTTGTGGGCTCAATGATGTCCTCTATCTGTCTATTTGACATAGGAGATGTGAGAGTGGCATCAATGCCCACCTGCCTCACTCGGCTATGCAACTAACGAGCTTGTGTCAGCCTCGCCTGATGCTCGAAGTACCTAGGGTTTCGCCCTTTTCGATCCTCCCGTTTCTGTCATGAGAATTGGTGCTTAAGTTGTTCAGTGGTTCAGCTCGAAGTTTGGCGCACCTTTCATATCTGTCCGGTTTGGAGACTGCCAGTGTGAAACCTCTCCGTGGATGCACTAATGACTAATGATGATATAGGAATAATCCGCGGTACCATGCCAGCCTACCTGGGACAGCAAATCCAACCTTGTGACATTTTGGGGATAACTTCAAGTGCGTGAGAAAGGCAAAGACGAATGAGCACTAAAACGGGCTCAACACTACTGGTCCGAATGTCATTCTTGACGTTGTGGAGATCCTGAGGCCATCATTGCCTCCGATATTATATCTCCGCCACAAGTCCTTTGAATTTATCACTTCGGTGTAGATTTGTTGACTTGATGGTTCAATTTGTTGGAATAATGCGGTTAGGTCGTCAAAATCCAATCAATGGAAGTCTCTTAAATATAAACACTGAGTCACTACTTTGTAAACCCTTTATCGAAAACTCGGGCTTATATTTTGTTTTTCGAGATGTCAACCAATAGGAATTTTGATGACCGTGGCCGTCTCCACCCTGTGATTGATGGATTCATTCCTCACGTGCTTAACTTGAGTTTTCGAAATTTTTACTTTCTGGGTCAAAAATATCTGGTTTTGTTCTCGCTTTTTATCCGAAAAAGATTTTCCCTTGATTTAGTGAATTTTTGCTCCTTATCGTATGTTAGACATTATCTGATTTCGTGTTTTATGTGCACCCCTTCCCTCTTGCGTTCGGTAGGTCTGTAGTAACTTATGTGGCCCCAGTTGAGTCTCAGCTTAAATGCTTGTCTCATTGTAAGGTGGGATTTGGGTCTAGACTTCTTTGAATCGTTACCCAACCAATAATAGCGTTGAGAGCATAATTCGGAAGGTTCAACGACTGTTTTACGGATTGTTTTTCGCGCTAGCTAAATTGGACGTTTAGTCTTCTTTTTTGGCATCAAAAAGTAGCGGTGATATTCCACTTATCGGTATTCCTTGAAACTCTCCTGGAAATTACCAGACTTTAGTATTTTATCATCAGCTGAGTGTACGTTGTTTTTACGAGGCAGGACGACGCAAAGGTGTTAGATAGTTGCTTTTGGAAGCCGCCTTTAATTCCCAAATTTTCAAGTCAAACCGACTCAGAGCATGCTCAACGCGTAGAAGGGCCTGGAGACAGAATGTAACCGGCTGGAGCAGAACCTGCTACTACTACCATGGCCGAATCGTGAGAGATCGGAAGGGTTCACTTAGTTACATATCACACTACAGATGTTAGGTGTAAATTTGTTGGTAAGAAATCAGTCTCTGTACCACTAGAAAACGTCTATTTTTTCGGCTGCCAATCATTACCAAAGTATTTTGATTTTAAATTGTCATAAACTGGAGTGACCGCGGTCGTCTGGTTTGCTTCTTCCATTCTCCATTTCCTCATAAAATTTGTCTTCGTTTGAGTGGTTTCAGACTAGTTTTGCACTCTTTAGCTCATCCCATCAAATGGTTTTACTTTTCTTCTGCTCAGAAATTACCCTACTTTTCAATGATTTTCAATGAATTTCTTCTTTGTAGGTCATGTCCAAGCCATCGGACAAGCGCGATTACAGTTGGGTCACAGGATACGAGAAGACTTGGTGAGTTTACTTTTGTCTACTGCTTCCGTTTGTTCATGATGTAAACACAATTTATCTGAATTGGTTCGTGAAAAGGCTGCTGATTCGAAGGTTGCCTGTATCTTTTCTCCTCCAAGTGTCAAGTGATTAAAAGGGTGCGTGTGATTCCTGATAGTGCTCACTGTCATACCTCTCTGTAATGTGCTAAACTGGATCCAACTGTTTGTACACGTGCACCATAAGACACAAAGATGCTTCAGGCTGTCATCAGTTTTACGCTCTCTATTATGTTTCTCTTATTGGCCATCTGATGGATGAGATTTGAGCTTGTCTGCGTTAAGAATTGAGGTTGGAAGCGCAAATTTCCTACAACATCTGTTGTGCAGCATTTGGAGAAGGTGTTGTACATAGTGGCAGTACGTATCAGCCAGAATCGTGTCGCTAGTGATGGAAGTAGGTCAAGATTTATCTTTTAAGAAAGGTTTTGCTGTTTTTTGTAACGGAATAGCTCATTTCCACACACATGAAATGAAAAGGTGAGGTGGTGGAACCTAGGCAGTTCGGTTTCATCCACGGATTAGCAGACGGCAGACAATCAGCTTCGCTTGCTCTTCACTTTTACATTCTGCATTGTAAAACCACGCTGTGCACTTCAGATTCCTCTTTGCGCTCAACCCCCACCTCCAAGTTACGGGCTACTTACTCTCCACAGGATGATGCGTACTTTGTGCGCGGTTCACTTCTGGCGCAATTGTTTACTGGGAGTTTGCAACTTACTGAAGGCCAAGCAACAGCTATGGCTGAAATCTACCTCCTTGATACAATTTGAAAATACTCGAGGCAAGGGTGCGCAAGAAACCCTTCTTCATGAGGATTCGTCAGAATTAGCAAGGTGGTGAGAAGAAGGTGATGTTCTTAGAGGACAATGCAAAGCCTCATCCATTACATCATACCGCATGGCACAAAACTGACCTAATAGAGAAGACTTCGTGCGCTACTTTAGGATTTGATAGATGGTGGAAGACACTGGTTCCGTGGTGACATTTCTCCAAATGACGTCCACCATCCCTTTCTTGGCAGCAGACAGTCACATTCTAGGAAATGATTGAGATGGATAAGCAAGTGGCTAAAGCTACCTTTTTCCACGGCTTTCAGGGGCAGTACTTACTGGAAAGGTTGCATTAGCGAACTCGTGTCCTGCTGGGGAAGAACCACTGGTTGCAGTAGTAACTATTTCAATGAATGAAATACTTTATGCGGTTTTCTTCTGTTACTTAGTATCGCAAAAATGGTGCGGACTTATTTGGTTGCCTTTTGTGTTCGTAATTTTGACGTTTTTGGTATTATACGCCCTGCCTCTTGAACCTTACTGGTACCCTCTAACCCATTAGTGAATGTGAGGTTCGTCTAGCTTAGAGAAACCGTGAAGATGGGGTCATTCTGTGTTTACTAAAGTCGAGTGGAGGCATCACGCATTCCGATCGGGCGGTTTTAAATTGCCTCGAAGTTTTGTAGACTTACTTTTTTCCTGTTCTTTGAACTTGGTCCCCTTTCATCATCTTAAATGTGTATACTCTCGGGCTAGAGGCGAGGAGATTAGCTCTCCAGATGCGTGAATGACCTACTTCCAACACTAATCCTTCTTTGGAATGCGAACTCGTAACTCGTCCACTTTTGTGAGTGAATGAGACCTGCTACTCACATCTGTTAGTATCTTCATGTCTTATTTCTCATCTGAGTTAAAAAACTTGTTCACGTGAATGTGCCAAAAAGTGTAAGGAATGAATTTTGTGATTCTGTTCATTACTAACCGCCTCCGATTGTATGTGATGCAATCTCTCGGCAAGTCAAAATGAGTTGCGCCGAATCTGACCTGACCCAAACTCATTGGCAGCCTACGTGTCCACCATCAAACGCTGAGTTCCTTGCTTTCTGGCATTTCCAGTTGCTGTACTCACTTGGCAATCTTGGCTCAGTTGTTGCATTCTCGAGAGGTCGCACAAATTGAGGAGGGTAGGCTCGTGTTTTGGCTCCATCTGGAAATGCCTCTGAGACAAAACGGAGAAAAGGAAGTGTCTTCTCAAAAAGCTTGTCTGACCAATCAATTCTCAACTGCGTTCCGACGATGAGCTGGTTGATTAAAACCGTTCATTGAGGCTCCACGTTCCAGTTAATTACTTTCTGCAGCCTGTTCTAGGATGTTGAGTAGCCTTGTAAAGAAAGTTCCAAATATTGGGTGGTATTTTTAATGTGTTTGTATCTCTTCTTGCTTCCCGCTTTCCAGGGAATCAATAAAGGAGGACCAGTCGGGCAGTCTGGTGGCGAGTCTGGAGAAGATGGTTCGCGACACACACGCCGATCTGCGAGCAAAGCGTCAGCAGACAAATGCCACTACCACCACCGCTGGCGGCACCCCACGACTGGGCATGGTCTGTTGATTCTCTTTTTTTGAACCCTTCTTCTGGGCTGTTAGTTAATGAGTATCGGGAATCTTAACCTGGTATTTTAATTATTTACCTTTTTCAAGATATTTCAAATGAATGCTATTTTATGCAGAGTCAGGTGTCCAGGTAATTCTTAGCTAAGTCAAGTGATGTTGAACGTTCATAATTACTACATGGTTTATCGCCTTTGTAAGTCATTTATCCCAATTATTCACCTCATGTTAACTCTTTTGACTGATGGAGAGGTCCTTTAGAAATGCAGGTGAATCAGCCTTCCCCTGAGTTTCCCCCATCGAATGATCGAGCACTTAAATTGACCTCTAAACCAATGTTACGGGTGTTCCTGCAGCTTTCGCCGTGGGCGCTTTTGCCCATGACCCATCGCCCATTCGGTCCACACGTTGACTAGACCGAGTTCTAACAATATGAGAAGGTCAAGGAACTGACTCTTGACCTCTTGATACGATTCCTTTCAAGGCCTGACGTATAATTGCTAGTACGCAGACTAATCCAGGCTAATATCGTCAAAAGGGTTTGAGTGGTTGTAAGTCTGCATGGCGATAGGTAGCCAAGTAAGTAGGTAGGTGAATGTGTGTTGCGAGTGGAAATAACTCATTTACCTCCCTTATCTCCCGACCACTTAGATTGTTCGAATTCCGCCCACAACTATACGTCAGATAGAAACAGATCATCTGAACTCATCTTGCTGTAATGTCAATCAAAACCTGAAGATGAGAAGTTTACAATCCTGCGACAGGTGTTTAAAAGTCTTGGACCATTTGGACCACGGAAAGATGAGGAATAGTGACAAGTGAAAAGAGAAAGGCAAACGGGTTCATTCTGGGCAGTTGGAACAACCGAATTGACAGCGTCCTCTTCACTTCGCAACTTGCCACTTCTAACTAAACCTCAAAGACGAGAGTATTTTCCTCTAAAAGAAATCAAAGGTGTGGTGAATTCTGCATGATTGATTGGCAGAACGGAGGACCCCACTTGCCCCAATGGCGATGATGTTGGAGGAGGGGAGGGGCGTATTCTAGACTCTGGATTTTGCATTCTCTGCACATCTACTGTTGCGAATGTAAGTGATTTGGTGGAGTTGGGACATTTAACTGCAATCAGTTGCGCCACCTCGAATAGTGGTGCATTTACGTGTGGTTCACTTGAAACGATGCACAAGACGCCACTGAATGTGTGGACTCCAGAAATCTAGTTTGCAGGTGAAATTGGGGAAGTTGAAACACACAGTCGAATCTTATGATCGTACAATATAGAATGATTGAGCGTAGATTATGGGAAAGGAGGATTTTGAGTCGTCTCCTGAACGAATCGGTAATGAATGAATGCGTGAATGTGAACCCAGTTATTATGTCGACAGAGATGACTCGGGGTGGAATATCACAGGTGCTGGTGACTTTCAGCCCCAGCAACTAAGAGAGTTAGGTCCAACGACATTTACTACTCCCATTCCGTTCCGAATTCCATCCATCCTCGCCTCATTCATTCGCGCATGCATTTGCTTTCTTCCAAATGTCCGATTTTTTGATGTGCAGACATGTTCACTCAGCTGGCAGCAATAAATCCATCCTCCCACCCAAGTGGGATTCTGTGTCTGCAACGAAATTCAGCAAATTCTTCCAAAACTGTCACAATTAGGAGAGATTTTGCATCTCTTTGAGTTTTCACATTTACCTTTGATGAGTGAAAACGCACAGTCGGTAAAATGAGGCATTTCACCACACCGCCTTTGGCAAACATTTTTATGCAGTGCATGCCGCAAATGAGTGATGTTACGTTGCTCCATTTGCAGTGCGTGAGGAAAAGAGACAAGCTCTGAGGCATTTGACGGAACAGGGAGAATTTCCCACCACTAATGCGAAAATTATGTTTAGGAGTGTTTACCCTGTCGAAGCAAAACTGTGGCGATGGCGCCACAGTTTTGTTGCAATTTTATTGTCTTTTGATCCACTCTTCTTCGTCTCTTCCTGTTGCCTTCCGTTGTTTATTTGTAGTCACCAATTTTAGCTAGTTTCTAACCACTGTTCATTGGTGTTTCCAGGTTCGACATCTCTACGTTGTGATTGATCTCTCCACTGCCATGCTCGAACGCGATCTGCATCCAAACCGCCTTATCTGTACTCTCAGGGTACGTATTTTGACTGCTTTGCCTTAAAAATGTTTAAGCTTATCTTGCTTGATCTTATATAAGTAAGAAGCGAAATAAAATTTACTTATTTGCTTTGTTTTACCCAATGTTTGGGCACCAGTTTGTTTGGATGCCTATTGACTACTCATCTTCCAATACTTTGTCTCGAGATGGTGGGGTCACGATTGGATGAATCCGGGTCAGTTGTATTTTCCAGTCCTTTATCTGACTGTGGTCTGCAATTGGTTGACCTCCAAGCTATGAGAACACGATGCTTGAGTTATCCCTGAGGAAATACTAGACACTCTGGTCCATGTTTAACCTGTTTTAGTATCCTGAAGGTGGATACATTGTTCTTCCCTAACAATACCCGTTTTGAATGTGGCATTTTCTTCTACAGAAAAATAGCCTGAAAGCCTATTACTAAGGTTATGCAAAGTTGCATATTCAAGTGACAGGACTATGGTAATACTCGGTGACCAGAAGGGTTGAAGCCTGTTTTCAGTCTCGTCTTTGACGTTCCTAGTTTTAAACACACGCCTGTATTTGTCATCGCAACATTGGTACTTGGAAACATTTGAAATCATCGGCACGAAGTTAGGCTGAAGAATCCACATTTGTCCTTCAACAATGACGGTGGATTTCGATGGCATCTTCAGCCAGCTAGATTGCATTGAGAAACTTCACTTTGTAAGCAAGTCATTGATAACTTAATTGAGTTCAAAAGAGCGGAATTAGTCCCCATCCCAATTTCGGAACTCTTGTGGCTGCTCTTCAGTTGAGTAAATTCCCTTGAGAAATTTACCTTGGAAGATTATTGGCTCAAAGGCAGAGGCTATTTAGGGCTTCTGGTTATGCTTATTTTGGTTGAAAAAAAAGTCGACAGAAGACTAATGAATTTGAATCCCACCTCATCAAAGCCGTACTCGGGGCAGAAAAAAAGCTAACAGTGGGCGGCTTTCTGTTTTTTAATAGCAGTAGTGAAATTCGACGCACCTTGCATCCACATCCTCTGGACTAATGTCTTACGAACATTCGTCCGGACTTAATCTATAGCGGCTGTGAATCATCTTCATCCCGTTGGGGAAGAGTTGGAAGTCCGGTAACACGGATCACAACTGCAAGTTCAAGTTCATCACCTTTGACGCTCATTTTTAGCATTCTCTGTGCATATGTTTTAGTGCCTCAAAAAGTTCGTGGAGAATTTTTTCGATCAGAATCCTCTGAGTCAATTGGGCATCATCTCGACTTCAGGCTCGAAAGCTCAGCTTGTCTCTGCGTTGTCTGGTAAGTGGTCTTTTTTCCGGCTCACAGCTCCATCTTGTCGAACAGTACCGATGCAGGATAACAACTTCGGAAAAGCAAAACTCGACTTAATTTTAGATTTCGTAGCTGAATTAGGTGTTCATTTAGCTCTGTTTTAGTTACTACTACTCTTATGATTATCTGGCCGCCAACTGGTTTGAAAAGTCTCTTCAAGCTCCTTTCGGTAGAGATTGTGTGCCTGATTGTATAAAGTAAATTACAAGTTGCATTTCAAATCAGGTCATAAAAATGATTTATGTTGTTTTTTGGTAGAATTGACTGCAATGATTTGTTACAACTTGCAGGGGGCTTTAAAAAAAAAAAAACAATTTGTTTGTCTGTTTTGTAAGGCAGAGATTAATTGACGTCGGTCTTTGGGTACAGTGCTCTTGTGCTCTCTCGGTTTTCGGGTGAAGGTGATGGGTGTGACTCAAGGTCTGCTGCAGAAGTTTCTCGCAATATTTATCATGTAAGATTTGGAGTTGTGGTATACGGTAACGGAGCATACCATCCAGAGATGGATATTTAATCATTCAAAAGCAGAGAAGAAAGGTGCTGTTCTTAATTATGGTGGATTTCGTGTCGGGAAATTTCGAGATGTGTCAGCACCAACTTTTGATGTTGCTTTACGTGAGTAACGAAACAATTCCCTTGCAAGTACATGAACTGAGAAGGAGAGTAGTAGAAGCTGAGGAAGTCAATTTCATCCTTTTGTTGTGAAATAGCAGGCAACGAACACTGAGCCCTAACGATAGTCAATTTGCTTTTCAATTTACTTCCTAAGAACGCAATGAGGATATTAGATTGTTGGCTGAGTGAATGACATGTGATGGGCGATGGTTTTTGAATTTCATATTCAAGCGAACGAGCAGATCACTGAGCATTTTAAAAGGTCTACCCAATGACCAAATTATACTTCTAATGTAGGAATAACTTCATCTCCACAAGACCATCCTTACTTTGTGTGCGGTTCCCTCCAGAAGCAGTTGTTTACTGGGGGTTTGCCATTTGCTGAGGGCCAAACAACAGCTATGCAGTTGATGGGAGGGAAAAGATACTCTTGGAGGACAACGTGGAACCTCATACATCATACCATACTCCATGGTGCAAAACTGACCTGATAAGGAAGACCTCGTACACTGCTTTAGGATGAGACGGATGCAGAGATATTGGAGTGTCGTGTCTCTTCCTCCTCATGCCCTTGATGGCATTTCTCCTAGTGATGTCCGCCATCCCTTTCTTGTCACTAGACAATCACACTCTAAACATAACAGACAGTTGGAATGCAAAAGTGAGTCAGAAGTGAGGTGGAAAGGAAGCGATTTGCTTTGTTTCTGAAGACAGCAAGAGTTGAGTCCGTAGCAAGCTTAAATCTCGTTGGCTACCTTTTAAAGATAAGTTCCATATTCTCAAGCTTCCTTCCTACTTTGTAGGACTGTGTTTTGTCCACAGTTTCAATGTATCTGCCTTACCGTAGCAATAATTAACTTATTTCCTCCGGTTCATAGTCCAGAAGACCAAGTGATTCGGTACTGTCTATTACATTTCGACAACCTCATCAATATCTGTTTCTCTCTTCTTACAATTCATTTCTGGGCTTTTTTATTCTCTGATTATGGTTGTAGTCAGCAGAACGTCTGGTGCAGCCTAGCACTTGATTCTCCTACCAAGCACCACGCACTCGTCTGCAATACCCAATGCATGATGCTGTGCTGTTGTTCATTCTGAGGTCAACTTCACGTCAAGGTGACGCCTTGTATTAGTCACTAAACCACAAGGATTGTCACCTTGTCCCATAGATAGAGCCATGTGAGCCATCACTGCTCCTATCGTCTTCACCGTTTTTAACGAGAATGAAGTAGAAACTCTTTGGCCCTACCTTCCATTTTAATTTCTTTTGATGCTGCGTAGGTCTTCGCGGATAGAGCGCCGTATGGCCTTAATTCCTCTCTGAAAGTCTCTTTTTAGCGATGAGTTTTTTATCTTCTGCTTACCTCTCAGGTATGACCGATCACCACCCCTTTCCAACTGTGCGAAGTAGTGAATTCGGCCTTCTGTCTCTTGAATAGTGCTCCGTTTCGGTGTTGTTTAGGTCTTTTAATAACTGCCTATTGACACGCTGGACTCCTGAAGCATTACGGCTTCCTAATCCTGTTGCTGTTGCTGCACCATTTTTGAGTACTTACCTCCGATCTCCTTCTGAAAATTTGTCGGTTTAATGACTAAATTTGTCCTTTCTTTAGGTGGCTTCATCCAACATCTCCGAGCTCTGGAAGAATTGGGTAAACAACAGCAGTGCGTAGGAGAGCCGAGCATTCAAAATGCCCTGGTTATGGCCGAATCACGACTCAGGCAAGCTTGGGTCATGAAGCCTGGCATCCACTAGATTCTCCTCTATTGCCGTAGTTTTTATCCAAAAAATGGAATGTCTTATCACCAAAACCTCGTTAAATTGGTTGGGAGGTTCACATGACGATTTTCTTTCACTTCACAGGCACATGCCCTCGTACAGTTCGCGTGAAGTCCTTCTAATCCTCGCCTCCATGACCACCTGCGATCCTGGCGACATTCATCAAACCATTCAAAGTCTTATCACACATCGCATCCGTTGTAGTGTCATCTCCCTCGCCGTCGAGGTCTTCGTCCACAGGGCTCTCGCAGAAGCTACTGAAGGTGGGCTGAAAAACACACCCAAGTTGCATGTTTGTTGGAAGTCGTCTCATTGACGCCTCAAACACTATAGCCTCGGCCGTCACTGTTCACTTCTCCTGTACTGTTCAAAATCGGAAAACTGTCTTCGTAGCCAGCGTGTGCTAACTTCTCCAAGTTGCAGATGTCCACGAAGGATTATATTCATGGTCCAATGTGCACTAAACACCCACAAGAATGAATTACTCCTATGGACTGGAAAGTACTACGGTCAGCACCGTCTTTAAAACGCTTATATCATTCGAATATTTTACTTTCCAGGACTAGTTTCTCTTAAATTCTTCTGGACGAGTAGATAGCCCCGAGTTTGGGTTCGTTCACGAGTAAATTTATCCACCACCGTACATCGTTCTATACACGTATTTCAACCGTTGCCTGCAATTCTTTAATTGGATCTTTGGGCTGCCCCATGACATAACTGCTGACCATGGGGCACAGTTGCCCTTTTCAAACGTGTCTCTCAAATTATAAGACCTGGTCAGTTTTGAACGCACATCGTGCATAAGTCTTTCACACTACTGAGGAACTTCCTCGGGTCTCCTCGTGGTCACTCCTCTGCTTTGACCCTCACAAGTATACACCAGTGAGACACCCAGGTGAAGATCCATGCAATGAACATTTTTCATCTTGTCTTTGCCGACATAATATGGTTTATCGGTGTGGAATGAGTTTGACAGAGTATAGAAAGAAGGAGAAGCCGTAGTCATTTCTCCCGCTCCGCCCAGTAGGCGTTTTCAGGTGCTTTGCGATCAACCGTGAAACTGCACCAAATCGCACACTGCGGATTTAGTTGGGATTCCTGAATGACGGACCAAGTCAGGCCAACTGCATCAGAGACTGCACATTTTCACCTGCAAATATGTGATGTATCCTGCACAAACGTACTGGCCTCAGTTGGGTCTATTTCAGGAGTATGGTAACCGCCGGCATTGTCGAATTCTCGAGTCAACTCCAATCTTGGCCCATTTTAGGCTCTCTCACTGTCATCATGGACGTGCCTCATCTCAAAACCGCTCTGCAGGGCTTTGTTCATCCTCCCCCCGTTTCAGTAAGCTACGGCATATTTATTTGTCCACTCAAATAGGTGGGAATTAATCTCTTTTTTGCGATTTAGGAGGATAAAGATGCTGCTCTGTTGCGAATCGGTGAGTTTAGATTGCAACTTTCTTATTTTTCAATCTTATTCTCATAGGATTTCCGCACTCGACCGCTGCAGACTTTGAACAATTTCCCGTACGAGTGTGCATGTGGTATGTTGGCAAACTGCCCTACTTATAAATTTTCAGTAGACAACTTATTTGATCACAATTTTTTATCATCTAAGTCACTTGCCGAATGTCGAAAACAAAGGTGAAGCCGCAGGCGGTGTCAATTCAGAATCCAACGTTGCTGTTGGCAGCAGCAACCGTCCGCGGGGCTCCTACCTCTGTCCCCGCTGTCATTCGGCCTACTGCGAGTTGCCAGTGGAGTGTGCGGTGTGTGGAATAACCCTAATGTCCGCTCCACACTTAGCACGTGCCTACCATCACCTCTTTCCCCTACCTCGCTTTGTGGAGGTTCCACGCACCGAAGCGTCTTCCACAATGCCGAAGGGGGAGCTCCTCGGCTGTGGCGGTTGCAACGTCAATCTACAATTGAAGTCTGTGGTTAGTGCATGGCGTTAGTTGGGCTTTCTGTTCTCAAATCCTGATGTTTCTCACTTAACCCTTGCTTGTTCACTGCAGGTATACAAGTGCCCGAAATGCAGTCACTACTTCTGCGCGGACTGTGATGCCTTCCTTCATGATTTTGTCCACTCCTGCCCCAAGTGTCCCGCTACCTAGTCGCTCTCAGGGGTTTACGGTTGCATTTACTCCCTATTTGATACACCTGCCTTATCGTTAGCCAAAGTTGCCATTTTGTATGATGAAGAGGTTACGTAAGGGTGAAGAGCTTTAACCACCTGGCACCTTTACTGCCAGCTTCTCTTATGCGTGGCAGTCCCGTTTTTATCGGAGCTCAGTTTCACAAGTATGTGAAATGTACCTCAAACGGATTCACTAAATTTACAAGAGTGCTGTAAATGGTGCGGGAGTAGCAGGTGGATCCTCTAAAGAGATGATGGTCATTAATGCCTTATTGTAGCGAACAATGCATCTGGACTGTGGTGGTAGATTTTTCTGAGACTGGTAATGAATGTGCTCTGGGAATCGGGATTTGAGATGACGTTTCGGTTGCCATCCACCAACGGTTGATCCTTTTAGATTAAGATTTATTGGAGCTCTGTCAGTGAGTGCCAGAGGGTATTCAATTCCACAATACCGTCAATGAGCTGGCGAGAAATGTGATATGTCTGCATCACTATCTTGAAAATCACCTTTGAATGGAGGGGTTCACTTGTAGGTAGGATGTGTGGTGACTCACTTCATTTGAAATGCAAACTTCATCGTTCGCAAATAAAGTGTCACTTAATTCGCCTTTTTAGTGTACTCGTCTGGTCTTCTTGGTGAGGTGCAATTGTTGCGCCCAGTTTTTGCGGTTCTCGAAAAGTGCTGCAAGGGTATTTTGGAATGTCCGTGGGGTATCAAGGCTTTTGAATACTGTCGACTTCTCTTGAAGCAGTCTATGATTTTCACCCAGGGTACATTAAAAGTAGTCAAGACAATTTATCCTCATAGTGGAAATGCGGTGGACTTTGCCCCCAAAATCAATGGAAAGCAGCATGTGTTAGGCGGCTCTCTTCTACCACGTATGTTTTGGGTCTAAGTCTACTCTCTAGTTTCAAATGTGTCTTCGGATTCCTTTTCATAGAATAATTGAAGAGTGCTTTCTAGTCTGAATGTCTGGCAGTCATCAAGCGTCAAAGGTAAAGCCAGGAGAAGAGCTAAGGAGGACTGTACAGACTTATTGTTCAACAGTGTCTGGAGGCTGTCTCCCGTCATGTAGTGATCCACAGAAAGTGACTTGATGTTTGCGATTTTCCATACACTGAGATAAAACTATCATCTGTGGTTGCAATTTTATGGCAACGTTTGTCCTTTTTCTGCCTCAGTTGTGTCGTTTATTTTAGGAAAGAGAGAGGGGGAATGAAAGTCAACCCAGTCTAGAAATTTAATGACCTCGGCGCTTTACCACGTATCAGGTAACCACAAAAGTTCGTCTCCGTTTCAACACAGCCTGCTGCAACTGCTTCTTTTAATTACCCGAGGAATACTAGCGGCGATTGTCTGTGTTCCTACTCTCTAAAGTTCTGCGCTATCTTCTTCGGGGAATGTTGATTCGTCTTTATCCTTTACGAATCTAGCTGAACTAGGTTCCAACTACGCGGAGGCGTCTCTTGAAGCATGTTGCATGACACTCGGAGGGGGCACGATAGTGAAATACGGTGCTCGAAATTGCTTTACATAAACGGCTTCATCCTGATGCTGATCTACTCGAGGATGCGTCACGGTGAGAAGGACCTTCTACTTCTAATTAGCGTGTCAAAGATTTATGGGCCTGTTTAACATGCTCAGGAGCACAGCACTATTCGAGGAGGGAGACAATGATGATGATTGTAGTGATTTGAGCCTTTTCAGAAGACATGAGTCATTTGTAACGTGGTAGACAAAGTATTACTGATGTATCGAAAGGGTGGAGCGTTTTGCTTTTTGCCACCATCGACGTTCACCCCCCATTCATCTCCCAACTGCCTGTTCAGAAAAAATTAGGGGTAGGAGGAAGGTAATGTCTCCCACCAAAGTGTGACAGACGCCTCCTCCTCCTCCTTTAACTAGTTCAGCAACCCACTCGGTATGTGATTTTGTAACGCCTTTTGGGATCAAAATTTCCTACACAGCTTTTCCAGAATTGTCTCAGCACTCACCCTTTACACGACTGAAAAATGATTTTGGCGCGTTAATCTCGAATATTTCGTGACCAGGGATGATTCACCACCAGAATCAAGTAGTTACAACCAGTTTCGAGCGGTGCATTCTGCTACTGCACCCTCTTCAAATGCTCTACAAAAAAAGTGTACGAGAAGCTTCTGCAGCCTTGGGACCGAGGCAAGCTCGCTTCGTAGAAGAGATCGGCTCATATCACATCCATCTGGTTTGTAATGCGAGGAAGGTAGACGAAGACAATGAAGAGCCGTATAGCAACGGCGAACTGACGTTTATCTCCGGTTCACACTGCAATTACAGGCATTTTCCAAGCCCCCACAGCGCAGCAAGACTTGCCAAAACCGCCACGAACTTTTCAGTCCCCCTGGTTGTAGCCTATTTTCTCCCACCAAACACGCCTGAACTGTCAAAATTATTTACTTCTCCACGCATCCAGTTCATGATGACATATCTGTGTGTCTGAAAGACAAGTAATGAAGCTGCTTGCAACATTCATTGCCTCTAATTTTCGGCCAATAGGTGGTGTTTAGGGAGACACCCTCTTCGTTTTTTCCTTCAAGTTGGCGAGCCTTCAAATGCACCCAGTCAATAAAGATTCCTGCTTCTGGGAGTCAAAACTATGGTGATGTGCCCAAATCTTGTTTATCCTTTTGAAGAAGTCAATCAGTTTGACCGTGACACCTTGGAACCTTTGCGGTTCTCATTTATCCGCCTCCAGTCAAATAAACACCAACGAAATATTTAGAAATCACTGTTTTGTTTTCCATCATGTGACCATGACTGTCTCAAAAACTGGGCAGTTTACAGAGGTGGAGTGTAAAACTGCGGATTTTGTTGGTACAGACGCAAGAGTGAAACAAATTTCAACGTCATTTTTAATAACGCGGTCACTGGTCGTGGTCAATTAGCCAGAGACATAGAATTTGGCGGTAGTGGGACACTTGAATTCCAAAAGATCGAAGTGTATCTTGCATTCGTAAAATCATCTCCCCAAAGTTCCAAATGCGACGATGAACGGTGAGGAGTGACAATGACAACTCGTGTATCGCAAACCCACGGGAAGTCAAATCATGCGCGCACTCGACTGGGCCAATCAGGTGCGTCGGTGGTTCGAAGGTGGGGCAAGGGAAATCAGGTTGGTGATTGACTTAAGGTTCAAAATACGTTCTCCTGTACGCCCTCCTCCGCGATTCGACCAATGAGATGGTGATGGCAACCAGAAGGCGCGTAGTGAAATGCGGAGGGTGATTGACTCATTGGCGAATGGAGGGGATCAGTAGTTGCAACCACGGTACACAGCGTGTAAAGGGAAAAAACGGGAGAAAGGGCAACAACAACGTTGGATTGCAGCATTTGCGTAGGCTGTTTGCACCGTGGCCCGAATGCACATTTTTCGTTGCTGCCATTTAAATTTCGGTGTACGAATAAAAGTATCTCCTGACCTGGCTACTGTTCCATAACTTAGGGCAAGTTCTTTGACCATAGGTACTTTTAAACTGTTTAATGAAAATAAATTTTCACTAGTCTGACAGCATGAGAGTCCCATTCTGTTTGGGACGTTATCTCTAATGCTCTCTGTGGCTAGATGGAGAAACTAAAATCATCCGTAGGCCTGGAAAGGGAATCATTTTGCCATTCTCCACCACAGAAGACTTTCAAGTCCGACAGTAACCCTGACTCTTCTGTGAAATCCGCACCTAAGACACAAGATGGGTTGCTAGATAGTGAGCAGAAGATGTCCAGAATCAACGTCTGCCTTAATCATCATTTCATTCCTATTGTCACTCAAACGCCACCCTGACATCCATTTGGGTTTCTACCAGCCTTTTGTAGTCGGGACATGTGTCAGATCTTCATCTCATACGCATCCTTCATTGTCAATAGAGAAAGCGCTTTACTATTCTCAGTCGATTTTGTGCTGTTTCATCTGGACGTCGCGATACCACTGATCGACATTGCAGTAGTCGCCGAATGCCGACGTGATTTCAATCATTCCTCGGTCATGAACCCCAGAAGACTCAGCCATCCGCAGCGGACACCCGTCAATAGCCGAATCCCGATGCCATTCATTTAGGGGCGATGCAATAACAGCGATCAAGGATTCGCTTAGAATAAACTCCTCTCCCTTACCGGGTTGTTCAACCAATGTTTCCGGTAATAAGGTTGGCAGTTTTTCCCCCTTCATGTGAATGTAGTGAAGACATTTACACTGAAAGGCGGTTTATATGACATCTGACGTCTGCTGAAAACGAGTTCATGTTGCTACCAGGCTTCCTCTGACCGGGATGTTGGAACAGAAAAAAATTCTGTCTTACCTACATCTATTTTTAGGTTCTATTTATCTACGGCTTATTGGAAAATTCGCTTTTTGGAGGATTGCTGATAAAATTCATGGAAATTTGAAATGTCTCTGTAATCTTTTACCAATTTTAAAACGTCACATTTGCTTCAGTCAGCCGACTCTTTCGCAATTAACAATGCAAAATGCTCTGATTTAGAACAACCTCAAATGTTGTTTGTTCCTTTAATGCTGAAAATAACCCTTCAGTGGTGTCACCTTAGTTGTAATGGTGCCGCTCTATTGTAGAATACTCAAAATCTGGCTGAGGAACCCAACGTGTTCTAATTAACCGCAGTCCAGCGCATGGCCTTTCACCCATCTGGGCTACGATTCCTCCACCCTTCCTCAAGGCCGAAGCGAATGTCATTTGAAATTGTCAAGTGGCAGTAGGAAAGCGCTCAGTGTCGCGCCCTGGTCAGCCGTAGCCAACACTTCCCAGCTACACGCCTTCAGTACAGTTATTTAAGAAAGTACACATCATGTTTTGTTTTGAAGTTTTCTTGCTTGTAGATGGCAAATAACAAAGTGAGGAGTTTTTCAAGTACCCCACGCTTGCCTGACACAAGTGTACAAGAAAGATGAAATAACTAACAGCACACGGATCCGATCCGTGCACAACAGCCTTAAGACAGTAGAAATAAAGTGTTGCATACAACACTTTAGCAATAACAAGCATCAATTTGTAGCATAATATATTTTCTTTTAATTATGTCGACTGCAGAGCGTAGGGAGAGATTTCGAAAAGGCCGCTCAGTTTAGTAAGCACCCCTTATTTTCGACAAATGGCAGTTTTCGTCACTTGTCAACGCGTGGTTTGTTGATACAACCTTGTTGTTATAATGAAAGTCTACTTCCGTGGCTAGAAGTGAGAACAAGGTCAACGACTTAACTGTGGCTTCTCAGCCATTTATCATTCAAATTTACCCATGGGAGGTGCACATTCATCTTTGATAAAAGGACGAATAAAAAAGGCGTTTTCTGAGGCTAAAAAAGGTAACAAATGTTCAAGAAACCAAATCCATTGACTCCCCATCACTAAGAGGCAATAGTAATCTTCCAGCTAGCGTCTTGAACCAATATTCAGGGCAAACGCTTCTCGGAACCGACGTTATCCGAGGTTACTTACCGAACTGATTTGGGAGGTTCACTATCATGCGGCTGTGCCATTTCTGTCCCATTAGACCACCAAGGGGAATTTTCTGGTTTTCCCTTCCGGATTAATTGCCATCCTTTTAATGAAACCTGACATATCTGTGCGTGACGTGTAGACTTCGATGGTAAAACCAGGGCGTCAAATTTATGTGACGTCAATTTTCTACAGCTTTTGAAAGTGGAATTCCCTTAACAATACGCAAAGTGGGCTGTCGCATTCTGGGGACGGGGACTTCCACCTGAATTAGCAACAGGAGAGGTAGCGAGCATACCTGAGGCCATAGCGGAGCAGACTGGCTAAGCCCGGGAGAACACCCCCTTTTGTCTTGTCTGTGTCCGTCGGTTATCTCAACTCTGTGGCCAAACACATATCTGGACAGTCAACAACCTCACTGTCTGGCATGTTGTATTCTGTAGCTGGTCTTATTGTTCTCTAAAGTAACTTTTACTCACATACACATTGATAATGACTACAGAGAGAGGATTTTGGATTTTGGAGGCCCATACCAGAAGGACTATTGAAACTGCGGCGACTTTTAACTCCTCCACCTCTTGGGGAGCCACTGAAATAAATGCCATCTCACTACAACATATCGCTGTCAGTTGGTGAATTCCTGTTGTTTCGCGATTGTTTTAAACTTTTGCTTTTATCCATCCAACTCAATTTCACCACTTTGTAGCAATTACTTCGGGCCATACCCTTGAAAAAGCTGACTTTTTAATGTTAACGAAAAGTTTAGAAAAAAAGCCAATTTCAATGCTTGACGCGTTTTACATTTCAAGTGCTCTTTAATGTTGTAACTGCTTCTTTCCCTTTTCCACCTCCCCCCCCCCCCCATCCTTTTTAATGGCTTGTAAAAGTTCACTCAATTTATTTTCTAGTTTCCACTTTCAAAAAATAAATGTGTGTGTGTCATAAAAATTGGCGACTCTTGGATTTGGCAACCGTGGTGGGCTTTTATAGGCCTTTTCCAACTCAGTGACACCAGATGTGTCATTATCGGATTCTTTTATGCCTGACCTTGAGCCTTAGCAATTGCTTGTGGCTCGGTCTTCATTCCCTACCAATCCCCTAACTCTCCTAATCTCCTATGATTGAGCTCCTTCCAGAATAGATTGCTTTTGGGCGAAGGTCGAATGCTGGAGTGTTCGCTGATGTCTCATTGAAGAAGACGTCCAAGTTGGATGGCCAGGCTTTGCTTAAGTCACTCTGACTTCTGACATACCGTGACCTCAAGGTCTGCGTTGTAGTCAGTTGTGGGGCAAGTTCCACGATAAGTGAGGTTGAATCGGTTATAAAAGGGACTGCTGAAACGAACCTTACGGAATGGGAAATATGACGCCCCTTCATGGTAGTGGAAGCTGTGATTATGCCTCACAGACAATTCGGCAACACTAGAATGACAAAGGAGTCTGGAAGTAAAGTGAAATTATGGCAGCCCGCTCATTTATCCGTGAATAAATTTGGCTCTGTGGAGTTAATAAAATTCAATTGCCAAACTCGTTCACTGCAGAACATCTACTAGTCTAACGAAAGGTCAAATAAACGCAGAAGTTTTTTCACGCCATTTTTCTCGTTGATCTAATCTCCATTGCGGTTCACCAGCCCGCCGCATCGAGACGTAAGTTGGCCGAGAATTCAACTTTTGCAGCTAGCCATCCCCGATGTCCAACCGTCCGTTCTGCTTCCTGTGTGGTTGACGATCAAAGGCCAAAAAAGATGATTTTCAGCACTTTGTAAGATTTGAGTGGAATGCAGACGATAGGGTGTGACAGTACCTTCCTAACATCGACGGGTTAAAATTCGAATTTATTTTCTGTCACCTGTTAATTCACAGCATCTGAAAATGAGCCATTAGCTAAGCTTCCACGAATTTTGCTTTCCATTTGATGTTGGCGTCAAAGATTTGTTTGATTAGTCCAGTTAGATATGACGAAAAGTTGATTTTGACTATCATTTGCAACGTATTATTACAAAAGTAGAGAATCTGCCCAAACATGATGCCTCCACCTGTGAGTTTCTCACTTATTTGAACCATTTCTGAAAGGTGCGCTCCGATACCACATGCCACGTCCTCTCCAAACACCGTGCAACTGATTGCACCAAAAAAACTTCCACTGCCCTGGAACCGTGTTAAACTAGTTTTGTGGCGTAAACGATGGCAAGGGTCACGCCATGACATGCGAGATCAAAACATGCCTCAGGCCATACCGAAAACGGCCTGAACCTTTTTGGCAGCCTGATAAATGGATAACCGCAAAGCAGTTCGCCGGGAAGACGTGACAGCTGAAGCCAATATGATTTGTAAAATTCATAAACGCTTTTCAATTCTAAGGTCATCCAGTGATGATGGAAAATGTCAACAAGTAACCATAGGAAGTACCTGACTCCCAAGTAATCTATTCTAACCGCCAACTCAGCCATGTAGGTCTTTTCTATCTTTTGTGATCCAGTCCCCACGAAGGTGATATTGAGCGAGTCTTCTAGAACCCTGGTCTTTCCGTACATTCGTAGTAAACTCGTTTTTGGTGTAGGCAGATAATAGACTGTAAGTAGCAGTCAAAGTCACTTCTAATTCGGAGTCTGTGGTTCCTTTTGGAAAGTCTGATTCATTCCGAGTCAAATTTTTCATTTTGTAAACTGCTAAATAGTTAAAAATTACTTTTCATTTATGAATATTTACTCGCTTCTAGGATTGCACTCAACAACGACAGCTGGAGCAGTCCAAATGAAAAACCTAAATGCAAAGTAATTCCTTAAAATAGGCTAAAAACGTATGCATCATGCTGTCTCACCCATTCCGATGCCTCCACAACCTCTCCTCTACTGGCACGTCGTGTTGTATACTCAGAAAAGTCTTAGAGCGGTACATTTGTGGCGTCGGGAAGTGGGTGCACTCCAAGGGGAAAACAAACAATATTTTGTCAGCATTTGCTAGAGTTGAACTGGCGAAGTCACGTCGGCTTCTAGCGATTGATCCGATCACGTGGTTTGGAGAGTGACCGGCGCTGATAAAGCTGGACCTGTGACATGGCGAACTGTATCACGGTCTGAAGGCACAACAGTCACCTACAGCAGGTTCATGGCGTACGGATAGGAACCTTGTCGACCATTATTTCGAGTCCCAACGCTATCTCCTCAATCAATCCCTCCTCCCGCAAGAGTCGTCTAATTTACGCCGTGACATTCCGAAATCCCAATTCAATCCTCAGCATTCAGCACCACTAATGGAACATAAGTAGCGTCCTCCCCTTATACGAATTCAATTTCAATTCTCCTAAAGACTGGGGAAAGTGGCCAAAGGGAACGCTATTACTCTGAGTAGCCCGCTTAATGTCATGGCCTCCCTTCCATGCCTGTGAGTCCAGACTGGTGTGCCTCACTTCACCCTTAGGTTCGACTAGGGAGCAGCAAATTTTCTTCCGCTTTCTTCCGGAGAACAAAATTTCGATGGCTATATATATGACTTGCAAAAAATGTGGTCATTTTCATGAGAACTAAGCAGAGCTTTTCCATCAAGCAGTTTCAACAACCTCAAGGTAAATTACGAACACTTCCGAATGATGAACACACTGCCCAAAGAAGTCCTTAAAATGGTCATGCTTTGCACTCGTAAGGCTGTGATTCCCGCCTAACAAAAGCTCCTTTATTTCGCTGCTTCAGTGACAGTTGGACCACCATCCAACAACTGGCATGTGGGAGGGTGTGCGGACACCACCTAATTCATTTCGTCTGCTTAATAGCTCCGCTTCCCACTAGCTGCAGCCGCGACTAAACTCCCCCACAAGCACACACAGCTGGCGCGCCAACGGAATTCCAGCCACACTGAGTCAGTGTGTCTCATCATCTTCTTTTCCCTCCAATGAATTTCAATGAATTTCTTTCCAAAAAAAACGCAACCCTGAATGGTGCCACTGCCCCCTCTTCTGCGGAGAGGCGATGATGCTGCTTTCGTGACCATGGTAACGTATACGCGCATGGACGTGATGAATCACACTCGGAAGTGGTGTAGCCATGTGCGCATCGTACATTGTAATGATACTGCCGCCATTTTTGCCTGACTCAGCACTCCTTATTGTGATTAATCTGTGTAAGCAAGCGCTCATCTGTTGTGTCCTCTTATTAATCAATTAGCCCTCTCGGAAGGCATAGGTTAAGTCCTTTAAATTCCCGTTGCACTCATTAATGCAGAGCCAATAGAAGGTGAGTGGATTGTTCTGGAATACTCCAGGCACGCGTACAATTTAGCCACCTTTAACCATTGATTATTGATTAATTAAGCGCCCAAAAACACTCGATTTGCTGCTCAACAAGCAAGACCAAAGTGGACGTATCGTGAAAATCAATAAAATCCATTGGATTCTCTCCACCAAACAGCACATGGACCAGTCAAGGCACAGGGTAAAAGGCGGTGCATTTGAAGAGCTTATTTTTAAACACTAGGTATTGTAAACTAATTAGGCATTTAGCTTATGCAGTGGCCCCTATTTTTTGCAAAGAAGAACATTTCCTTCACCTACCCGCTTCAGAAATGTACCACCACTTTGGAAATAACGCGTACACTTCTTATTTTTCTTCAACTTGACAGACGTGTACCCTCATGAGGGTTGATGTTGTGCTGAAAAACGCGGTGACTAACATTGTTTCGCCTGGAAATAGACAGGTACAGGCCGGTCGAAGCAGGCTACCAGCACCCTGCTGGCTCATGTTTACAGTACTGAGGGTTCATAAACAAGACAAAGGGGTCAGAGCTAAGACCTTAGGGGCTACCCTCATCGCCACGGTAACAGGAGCTGAATTAACATATTTTTGCCAAATATGGTGATTTTCTAATGAGGGCAGTAAAATTAACAAGCAAGAATTTGTTTAATATAGGGGTCACGATTTAATTCTTCTCTACAAACATGAAATTTTTTTCTGCAAATGCATATTACATCAACTATTTCTAAAGGTTATGTTATTTTACCAGAGGTTTCTTTCCAGTGAGGGGTAGCTTAACCGTTTCGTAAGCTGCAATGGCCTGCTGACCTGACAAGCCCGTTTCACCCGTCCATCAAAGGCCAAAGTGTGACTCACCATCAGCATTTCCGTGACAAATTACCATTTAAAGAGCCTTTCTGCCCTACAGTCATCAAAAACTACGTCGCTATTAAGGGAGTCACTAAGCACACTGCCAGCGGCGCATATACGAGAAGCTCGAGCCAACTTATCTAACCAAAACAACGATACATCTCAGGAGAATTGGTGGAGGTACCTCGGAGACCCCGAAAGGAAACTAGTTAACCAACAGTAGAATAGGATTCCTGGTTATTTGAGTTTCTCAGTGTTTGACATCTCCTACTATTAAGAAATCTGGGTCAGATAATCCCCTTCCAGGACTACTCCTCAGCTCACGGATGCGGATCCATAATCTATGGATGTGGCGTAATTAGCTCAATCTAGTGAATGTCGAATTCGTAGCGGAATGGCAATTAGAGGAGCAACTGCACATTTCGTATGTGAGAACCAGTGTGCTTCCATTGCCAATCGGCCATTCATTTCCGCTTTTCTACCATCAACTTCCAAACAATTAGTATGTTAACAACTTGCTCCACTTCCTCCAGTTCTCTCTAATTAGGCAATAGGACCTTCCAAAGGACTGATATGGAGGAAGAGCTATTTGAAGCCTACATAAGGTGGGTGAGGGGCCATGCACATGCACAAGGTTCCATGACAATATGTTGGTAGTTGGACGGACAGCGCCTTGTTAAGTAGTCTCCCCCTTCTTCGTTTTAATACGGATTCCGACGGTCACCATAGTAACTCTCCTACTCTAGTCATCTCGAGTGTTCTAGCCCGCGGAGGGAAACTGAGATAAAATGAGGAATAGACATTGGAAGAAGAGTGTCGCGTATTGCAGCAGTTGTTGCCAATGGCAAGAATTTAGTTAAGATCCCTCATTTCCTTTCGAGGAGAAATACAGCTATAGAGAATTCTTTTAAAAAGCAACGCCAAAGCAGCGGCGATATTCTACACTGAGCTTATTCTTCTCGAGGTAAAAAGCTACTACCATTCCATGGAAGACAGAGAGACTGGAAGGATTAAAAATCATAAACAAGCGGTATGAAGGTCGTAACACGATAAACCGAAGTAACCCTATGCCAGGTTGATCGGATTTATATGTAAAGTGTCATCTCCACTTGACAGAAGAGGAACGACATATCAACCAGTTGTGCTATATGGCAAATGACAACTGAAAAATCGAACGCA